ACTTCTCAATCGACACATATTTCCAACAATTGTTTTACAGACAGATTATTTCACTTATAATTCACTGTATCACAATTCCAGTGGGTCAGACGTTTACATACACTAAGTTGACTGTGCCTTTAAACAGCTTGGAAATGTCCAGAAAATGATGTCATGGCTTTAGAAGCTTCCGATAGGCTAATTGACATCATTTGAGTCAATTGGAGGTGTGCCTGTGGATGTATTTCAAGGCCTACCTTCAAACTCAGTGCCTCTTTGCTTGACATCATGGGAAAATCAAAAGAAATCAGCCAAGACCTCAGAAAAAATATTGTAGACGTCCACAAGTCTGGTTCATCATTGGGAGCAATTTCCAAATGCCTGAAGGTACCACGTTCAACTGTACAAACAATAGTACGCAAGTATAAACACCATGGGACCACGCAGCCGTCATACCGCTCAGGAAGGAGACGCGTTCTGTCTCCTAGAGATGAACGTACTTTGGTGCGAAAAGTGCAAATCAATCCCAGAACAACAGCAAAGGACCTTGTGAAGATGCTGGAGGAAATGGGTACAAAAGTATCTATATCCACAGTAAAACGAGTCCTATATCAACATAACCTGAAAGGAAGAAGCCACTGCTCCAAAACCGCCATAAAAAAGCCAGACTACGGTTTGCAACTGCACATGGGGACAAAGATCGTACTTTTTGGAGAAAAAATCCTCTGGTCTGATGAAACAAAAATAGAACTGTTTGGCCATAATGACCATCGTTATGTTTGGAGGAAAAAGAGGTGTCTTGCAAGCCGAAGAACACCATCCCAACCGTGAAGCACGGGGGTGGCAGCATCATGCTGTGGGGGTGCTTTGCTGCAAGAGGGACTGGTGCCCTTCACAAAATAGATGGCATCATGAGGAAGGAAAATTATGTGGATATATTGAAGCAACATCTCAAGACATCAGTCAGGAAGTTAAAGCTTGGTTGCAAATGGGTCTTCCAAATGGACAATGACCCCAAGCATACTTCCAAAGTTGTGGCAAAATGGCTTAAGTACAACAAAGTCAAGGTATTGGAGTGGCCATCACAAAGCCCTGACCTCAAGCCTATAGAACATTTTTGGTCAGAACTGAAAAAGCATGTGTGAGCAAGGAGGCCTACAAACCTGACTCAGTTACACCAGCTCTGTCAGGAGGAATGGGCCAAAATTCACCCAACTTATTGTGGGAAGCTTGTGGAAGGCTACCCGAAACGTTTGACCCAAGTTAAACAATTTAAAGGCAACGCTACCAAATACTAATTGAGTGTATGTGAACATCTGACCCACTGGGAATGTGATGAAAGAAATAAAAGCTTAAATAAATAATTCTCTCTACTATTATTCTGACATTTCACATTCTTAAAATAAAGTGGTGATCCTAACTGACCTAAGACACTGAAGGTTTACTAGGATTAAATGTCAGGAATTGTGAAAAACTGAGTTTAAATGTATTTGGCTAAGGTGTATGTAAACTTCCGACTTCAACTGTACCTTTTTTTTAATAAAGGTAGGGGCATGGTCAGAAAACCAGTCAGTATCTGATGTGACCACCATTTGCCTCATGCAGTGCGACACATCTGCTTCGCATAGAGTTGATCACGCTGTTGATTGTGGCCTGTGGAATGTTGTCACACTCCAATTCAATGGCTGGATATTGGTGGGAATTGGAACACGCTGTCGTACACGTCGATCCAGAGCATCCTTAACATGCCCTATGGGTGACATGTCTGGTGAATACGCAGGCCATGGAAGAACTGGAATATTTTCAGCCTCCAGGAATGTATTATCATGCTGAAACACGAGGTGATGGCGGCGGATGAATGGCACGACAATGGGTCTCAGGATCGCATCACAGTATCTCTGTGCATTCAAATTGCCATCGATAAAATGTGATTGTGTTCGTTGTCCGTAGCTTATGCCTGCTCATACCATAACCCCACTGCCACCCTGGGGCACTCTGTTCACAACGTTGACATCAGCAAACCACTCGCCCACACAACGCCATAACCGACTGCCATCTGCCCAGTACAGTTGAAACCGGGATTCATCAGTGAAGAGCACAGTTCTCCAGCGTGCCAGTGGCCGTCGAAGCGGAGCATTTGTCTACTGAAGTCAGTTACGACGCTGAACTGCAGTCAGGTCAAGACCCTGGTGAGGACGACGAGGACCCTGAGACGGTTTCTGACAGTTTGTCCAGAAATTCTTGGGTTGTGCAAACCCACAGTTTCATCAGCTGTCCGGGTGGCTGGTCTCAGACGATCCCGCAGGTGAAGAAGCCGGATGTGGAGGTCCTGGGCTGGCGTGGCTAGAAGTGGTCTGCGGTTGTGTGGCCAGTTGGACGTACTGCCAAATTCTCTAAAAAGACTTTGGAGGCAGCTTATGGTAGAGAAATTAACATTCAATTCTCTGGCAACAGCTCTGGTGGACATTCCTGCAGTCAGCGTGCCAATTGCACGCTCCCTCAAAACTTGAGACATCTGTGGAATTGTGTTGTGTGACAAAACTGCACAAGGTGCACCTGTGTAATGATCATGCTGTTTAATCAGCTTCTTGATATGCCACACCTGTCAGGTGGATGGATTATCTTGGCAGGGGAGAAATGTTCACTAACAGGGATGTAAGCAAATTTGTGCTCAAGATTTGAGAGAATTAAGCTTTTTGTGCATATGGAACATTTCTGGGATATTTTATTTCAGCTCATGAAACATGGGACCAACACTTTACATGTTGTGTTTATATTTTTGTTCACTATAATTCTCTGTCTGTGTTCTAGCTGGCTGTGTTCTAATTCTCTGTCTGTGTTCTAGCTGGCTGTGTTCTAATTCTCTGTCTGTGTTCTAGCTGGGCTGTGTTCTAATTCTCTCTCTGTGTTCTAGTCATAGAGATGTGTGCTAATTCTCTGTCTGTGTTCTAGCCATAGAGATGTGTGCTAATTCTCTGTCTGTGTTCTAGCCATAGAGATATGTTCTAATTCTCTGTCTGTGTTCTAGATGGCTGTGTGCTAATTCTCTGTCTGTGTTCTAGCCATAGAGATGTGTGCTAATTCTCTGTCTGTGTTCTAGCCATAGAGATGTGTGCTAATTCTCTGTCTGTGTTCTAGCCATAGAGATGTGTGCTAATTCTCTGTCTGTGTTCTAGCCATAGAGATGTGTGCTAATTCTCTGTCTGTGTTCTAGCCATAGAGATGTGTGCTAATTCTCTGTCTGTGTTCTAGCCATAGAGATGTGTGCTAATTCTCTGTCTGTGTTCTAGCCATAGAGATGTGTGCTAATTCTCTGTCTGTGTTCTAGCCATAGAGATGTGTGCTAATTCTCTGTCTGTGCCCTGTAGCTGGCTGTGTTGGGTGCGTGCCAGTGTCCCAATGTAAGGCAGGCCTGCCCGTGTGCCAGGAGTGCTGCTGCCAGCCGAAAACAGGTTCTCCAGCTCAGACAAGAGGTAGGGTACCCACCTAAAGCACTAATACATTGTTCACCAACCCCTGGTCCTGGGTGTGGATACAACTGATCTAAATCTTGATGATTAGCTGAAATGTGTGTGTGTGTGTACCTGTATGCTCAGTGGTGGGAAAGGTACTCAATTGTCATACTTGAATAAAAGTAAAGATACCTTAATAGAAAATGACTAAAGTAAAAGTCACCCAGTAAAATACTACTTGAGTTAGTGATGCAAATTTCGGTCAATTTTGCTGCCGACTAACTGACCCTCATTAACCGTCAACAAACGGTTACATTCTTTCCAAACAGTAAAATGACGTGATCAACAGAAAATACTATCAGAGATCCGTATATAATGACGAGATGCTTATGTTTCCGCCCTAACAATGGGAGTCGTCCCAAGGCTGGAAGGCAGGCGTAAGGCGACAAGTTAAGGCCCAAAATAAGCCCATAGAAACGCATTGGACTTATTTTGGACAGATTTAGGCGAGAGTGAAACCTCTCGCTTCGCCTCTTCCTCTCTGAAACTATGCATGCATACAAGGACCTGACATTTTTCATTAAGAGCTTGATGGAAACATCTAACAATGCAAGCCTATCGTCTTACAGTCAAAAGGCTATAGCCTGTTATTGAACGTACAACTCCTGTAATGAACAGCTAATAAAACGTCATTTTCAAACATTTGCCCGAATGCAATTCACGGAAAACACAGTTCTAAAATGCGCACGTAATTGAGCAGTTCCATATGTGACAGAGATGAAAATCTCTGTTAGAAATGTAGAAAAGGGGGGAATCTAATAGCAACTACTATGATGGTTTGCTAATATGACTAGGATTGTGCCTTTGGCTTCTGGACAACGAAAGAAAGTTGATATGAAAACCAATAGAACAGGAGAGAAATGCTGGCTAATGGCATGAGGAAGTCTTTATAAAATAATTGCCTCCATGTTTCTATGGATGGATTTTGTCAAGGCTACTTTGACCCAAGGTCAGACATGCCTCATTATTTGAAGTAAAGTAAAACATTCAGGTTTCAAACAATTATACTGCCTCAAGCTCACATTACATTATACTGCCTCAAGCTCACATTACATTATACTGCCTCAAGCTCACATTACATTATACTGCCTCAAGCTCACATTACATTAAACTGCCTCAAGCTCACATTACATTATACTGCCTCAAGCTCACATTACATTATACTGCCTCAAGCTCACATTACATTATACTGCCTCAAGCTCACATTACATTATACTGCCTCAAGCTCACATTACATTATACTGCCTCAAGCTCACATTACATTATACTGCCTCAAGCTCACATTACATTATACTGCCTCAAGCTCACATTACATTATACTGCCTCAAGCTCACATTACATTATACTGCCTCAAGCTCACATTACATTATACTGCCTCAAGCTCACATTGCAAAGTGGTGTGTGACGCGCTGATAGTCAACGGCAGGCAGGCTATAGCCTATGCATCCGAATGGCGAATCAGAGGCGCGCTTTACCAGTTGAGATTGAGAAATTCAAATAGCTCCTTTTTAATCGTGGCCACCAAGGTTTTTAACACGCGATTGCATTTAGAATTGTTATTTGTTGCGCAATGACTGGGATTACAAAAGCAGGTTTCACTCCTGTAGCCTACAGGCTTTTTGAGGAGCCACTCTGGTGCCGTCTGACATGTGGTAGGATATTCCTCTCCTCTAACTAGTCTCTGTATGCTGTCTGACAGGTGATATTCCTCTCCTCTAACTAGTCTCTGTATGCTGTCTGACAGGTGATATTCCTCTCCTCTAACTAGTCTCTGTATGCTGTCTGACAGGTGATATTCCTCTCCTCTAACTAGTCTCTGTATGCTGTCTGACAGGTGGTAGGATATTCCTCTCCTCTAACTAGTCTCTGTATGCTGTCTGACAGGTGATATTCCTCTCCTCTAACTAGTCTCTGGTGCCGTCTGACAGGTGGTAGGATATTCCTCTCCTCTAACTAGTCTCTGTATGCTGTCTGACAGGTGATATTCCTCACCTCTAACTAGTCTCTGTATGCTGTGTGACAGGTGGTAGGATATTCCTCTCCTCTAACTAGTCTCTGTATGCTGTCTGACAGGTGGTATTCCTCTCCTCTAACTAGTCTCTGTGTGCTGTCTGACAGGTGATATTCCTCTCCTCTAACTAGTCTCTGTATGCTGTCTGACAGGTGGTAGGATATTCCTCTCCTCTAACTAGTCTCTGTATGCTGTCTGACAGGTGATATTCCTCTCCTCTAACTAGTCTCTGTATGCTGTCTGACAGGTGATATTCCTCTCCTCTAACTAGTCTCAGTATGCTGTCTGACAGGTGATATTCCTCTCCTCTAACTAGTCTCTGTATGCTGTCTGACAGGTGGTAGGATATTCCTCTCCTCTAACTAGTCTCTGTATGCTGTCTGACAGGTGATATTCCTCTCCTCTAACTAGTCTCTGTATGCTGTCTGACAGGTGGTAGGATATTCCTCTCCTCTAACTAGTCTCTGTATGCTGTCTGACAGGTGATATTCCTCTCCTCTAACTAGTCTCTGTATGCTGTCTGACAGGTGATATTCCTCTCCTCTAACTAGTCTCTGTATGCTGTCTGACAGGTGGTAGGATATTCCTCTCCTCTAACTAGTCTCTGTATGCTGTCTGACAGGTGGTAGGATATTCCTCTCCTCTAACTAGTCTCTGTATGCTGTCTGACAGGTGGTATGATATTCCTCTCCTCTAACTAGTCTCTGTATGCTGTCTGACAGGTGATATTCCTCTCCTCTAACTAGTCTCTGTATGCTGTCTGACAGGTGGTAGGATATTCCTCTCCTCTAACTAGTCTCTGTATGCTGTCTGACAGGTGGTAGGATATTCCTCTACTCTAACTAGTCTCAGTATGCTGTCTGACAGGTGATATTCCTCTCCTCTAACTAGTCTCTGTATGCTGTCTGACAGGTGATATTCCTCTCCTCTAACTAGTCTCTGTATGCTGTCTGACAGGTGATATTCCTCTCCTCTAACTAGTCTCTGTATGCTGTCTGACAGGTGATATTCCTCTCCTCTAACTAGTCTCTGTATGCTGTCTGACAGGTGATATTCCTCTCCCTCTAACTAGTCTCTGTATGCTGTCTGACAGGTGGTAGGATATTCCTCTCCTCTAACTAGTCTCTGTATGCTGTCTGACAGGTGGTAGGATATTCCTCTCCTCTAACTAGTCTCTGTATGCTGTGTGACAGGTGGTAGGATATTCCTCTCCTCTAACTAGTCTCTGTATGCTGTCTGACAGGTGATATTCCTCTCCTCTAACTAGTCTCTGTATGCTGTCTGACAGGTGGTAGGATATTCCTCTCCTCTAACTAGTCTCTGTATGCTGTCTGACAGGTGATATTCCTCTCCTCTAACTAGTCTCTGTATGCTGTCTGACAGGTGGTAGGATATTCCTCTCCTCTAACTAGTCTCTGTATGCTGTCTGACAGGTGGTAGGATATTCCTCTCCTCTAACTAGTCTCTGTATGCTGTCTGACAGGTGATATTCCTCTCCTCTAACTAGTCTCTGTATGCTGTCTGACAGGTGATATTCCTCTCCTCTAACTAGTCTCTGTATGCTGTCTGACAGGTGGTAGGATATTCCTCTCCTCTAACTAGTCTCTGTATGCTGTCTGACAGGTGATATTCCTCTCCTCTAACTAGTCTCTGTATGCTGTCTGACAGGTGGTAGGATATTCCTCTCCTCTAACTAGTCTCTGTATGCTGTCTGACAGGTGGTAGGATATTCCTCTCCTCTAACTAGTCTCTGTATGCTGTCTGACAGGTGATATTCCTCTCCTCTAACTAGTCTCTGTATGCTGTCTGACAGGTGGTAGGATATTCCTCTCCTCTAACTAGTCTCTGTATGCTGTCTGACAGGTGGTAGGATATTCCTCTCCTCTAACTAGTCTCTGTATGCTGTCTGACAGGTGATATTCCTCTCCTCTAACTAGTCTCTGTATGCTGTCTGACAGGTGATATTCCTCTCCTCTAACTAGTCTCTGTATGCTGTCTGACAGGTGGTAGGATATTCCTCTCCTCTAACTAGTCTCTGTATGCTGTCTGACAGGTGATATTCCTCTCCTCTAACTAGTCTCTGTATGCTGTCTGACAGGTGGTAGGATATTCCTCTCCTCTAACTAGTCTCTGTGTGCTGTCTGACAGGTGATATTCCTCTCCTCTAACTAGTCTCTGTATGCTGTCTGACAGGTGGTAGGATATTCCTCTCCTCTAACTAGTCTCTGTATGCTATTTGACAGGTGGTAGGATATTCCTCTCCTCTAACTAGTCTCTGTATGCTGTCTGACAGGTGATATTCCTCTCCTCTAACTAGTCTCTGTATGCTGTCTGACAGGTGGTAGGATATTCCTCTCCTCTAACTAGTCTCTGTATGCTGTCTGACAGGTGGTAGGATATTCCTCTCCTCTAACTAGTCTCTGTATGCTGTCTGACAGGTGATATTCCTCTCCTCTAACTAGTCTCTGTATGCTGTCTGACAGGTGGTAGGATATTCCTCTCCTCTAACTAGTCTCTGTATGCTGTCTGACAGGTGATATTCCTCTCCTCTAACTAGTCTCTGTGTGCTGTCTGACAGGTGGTAGGATATTCCTCTCCTCTAACTAGTCTCAGTATGCTGTCTGACAGGTGATATTCCTCTACTCTAACTAGTCTCTGTATGCTGTCTGACAGGTGGTAGGATATTCCTCTCCTCTAACTAGTCTCTGTATGCTGTCTGACAGGTGATATTCCTCTCCTCTAACTAGTCTCTGTGTGCTGTCTGACAGGTGGTAGGATATTCCTCTACTCTAACTAGTCTCTGTATGCTGTCTGACAGGTGGTAGGATATTCCTCTCCTCTAACTAGTCTCTGTATGCTGTCTGACAGGTGATATTCCTCTCCTCTAACTAGTCTCTGTGTGCTGTCTGACAGGTGGTAGGATATTCCTCTACTCTAACTAGTCTCTGTATGCTGTCTGACAGGTGGTAGGATATTCCTCTCCTCTAACTAGTCTCTGTATGCTGTCTGACAGGTGATATTCCTCTCCTCTAACTAGTCTCAGTATGCTGTCTGACAGGTGATATTCCTCTCCTCTAACTAGTCTCTGTATGCTGTCTGACAGGTGATATTCCTCTCCTCTAACTAGTCTCTGTATGCTGTCTGACAGGTGGTAGGATATTCCTCTCCTCTAACTAGTCTCTGTATGCTGTCTGACAGGTGGTAGGATATTCCTCTCCTCTAACTAGTCTCTGTATGCTGTCTGACAGGTGATATTCCTCTCCTCTAACTAGTCTCTGTATGCTGTCTGACAGGTGATATTCCTCTCCTCTAACTAGTCTCTGTGTGCTGTCTGACAGGTGGTAGGATATTCCTCTCCTCTAACTAGTCTCTGTATGCTGTCTGACAGGTGGTAGGATATTCCTCTCCTCTAACTAGTCTCTGTATGCTGTCTGACAGGTGATATTCCTCTCCTCTAACTAGTCTCTGTATGCTGTCTGACAGGTGGTAGGATATTCCTCTCCTCTAACTAGTCTCTGTATGCTGTCTGACAGGTGATATTCCTCTACTCTAACTAGTCTCTGTATGCTGTCTGACAGGTGATATTCCTCTCCTCTAACTAGTCTCTGTATGCCGTCTGACAGGTGGTAGGATATTCCTCTCCTCTAACTAGTCTCTGTATGCTGTCTGACAGGTGATATTCCTCTCCTCTAACTAGTCTCTGTATGCTGTCTGACAGGTGATATTCCTCTCCTCTAACTAGTCTCTGTGTGCTGTCTGACAGGTGGTAGGATATTCCTCTCCTCTAACTAGTCTCTGTATGCTGTCTGACAGGTGATATTCCTCTCCTCTAACTAGTCTCTGTGTGCTGTCTGACAGGTGGTAGGATATTCCTCTCCTCTAACTAGTCTCTGTATGCTGTCTGACAGGTGATATTCCTCTACTCTAACTAGTCTCTGTATGCTGTCTGACAGGTGGTATTCCTCTCCTCTAACTAGTCTCTGTATGCTGTCTGACAGGTGATATTCCTCTCCTCTAACTAGTCTCTGTATGCTGTCTGACAGGTGGTAGGATATTCCTCTCCTCTAACTAGTCTCTGTATGCTGTCTGACAGGTGATATTCCTCTCCTCTAACTAGTCTCTGTATGCTGTCTGACAGGTGATATTCCTCTCCTCTAACTAGTCTCTGTATGCTGTCTGACAGGTGGTAGGATATTCCTCTCCTCTAACTAGTCTCTGTATGCTGTCTGACAGGTGGTAGGATATTCCTCTCCTCTAACTAGTCTCTGTATGCTGTCTGACAGGTGATATTCCTCTCCTCTAACTAGTCTCTGTATGCTGTCTGACAGGTGGTAGGATATTCCTCTCCTCTAACTAGTCTCTGTATGCTGTCTAACAGGTGATATTCCTCTCCTCTAACTAGTCTCTGTATGCTGTCTGACAGGTGGTAGGATATTCCTCTCCTCTAACTAGTCTCTGTATGCTGTCTGACAGGTGATATTCCTCTCCTCTAACTAGTCTCAGTATGCTGTCTGACAGGTGGTAGGATATTCCTCTCCTCTACCTAGTCTCTGTATGCTGTCTGACAGGTGGTAGGATATTCCTCTCCTCTAACTAGTCTCTGTATGCTGTCTGACAGGGTGATATTCCTCTCCTCTAACTAGTCTCTGTATGCTGTCTGACAGGTGGTAGGATATTCCTCTCCTCTAACTAGTCTCTGTATGCTGTCTGACAGGTGGTAGGATATTCCTCTCCTCTAACTAGTCTCTGTATGCTGTCTGACAGGTGATATTCCTCTCCTCTAACTAGTCTCTGTATGCTGTCTGACAGGTGATATTCCTCTCCTCTAACTAGTCTCTGTATGCTGTCTGACAGGTGGTAGGATATTCCTCTCCTCTAACTAGTCTCTGTATGCTGTCTGACAGGTGATATTCCTCTCCTCTAACTAGTCTCTGTATGCTGTCTGACAGGTGGTAGGATATTCCTCTCCTCTAACTAGTCTCTGTGTGCTGTCTGACAGGTGATATTCCTCTCCTCTAACTAGTCTCTGTATGCTGTCTGACAGGTGGTAGGATATTCCTCTCCTCTAACTAGTCTCTGTATGCTGTCTGACAGGTGGTAGGATATTCCTCTCCTCTAACTAGTCTCTGTATGCTGTCTGACAGGTGATATTCCTCTCCTCTAACTAGTCTCTGTATGCTGTCTGACAGGTGGTAGGATATTCCTCTCCTCTAACTAGTCTCTGTATGCTGTCTGACAGGTGGTAGGATATTCCTCTCCTCTAACTAGTCTCTGTATGCTGTCTGACAGGTGATATTCCTCTCCTCTAACTAGTCTCTGTATGCTGTCTGACAGGTGGTAGGATATTCCTCTCCTCTAACTAGTCTCTGTATGCTGTCTGACAGGTGATATTCCTCTCCTCTAACTAGTCTCTGTGTGCTGTCTGACAGGTGGTAGGATATTCCTCTCCTCTAACTAGTCTCAGTATGCTGTCTGACAGGTGATATTCCTCTACTCTAACTAGTCTCTGTATGCTGTCTGACAGGTGGTAGGATATTCCTCTCCTCTAACTAGTCTCTGTATGCTGTCTGACAGGTGATATTCCTCTCCTCTAACTAGTCTCTGTGTGCTGTCCTGACAGGTGGTAGGATATTCCTCTACTCTAACTAGTCTCTGTATGCTGTCTGACAGGTGGTAGGATATTCCTCTCCTCTAACTAGTCTCTGTATGCTGTCTGACAGGTGATATTCCTCTCCTCTAACTAGTCTCTGTGTGCTGTCTGACAGGTGGTAGGATATTCCTCTACTCTAACTAGTCTCTGTATGCTGTCTGACAGGTGGTAGGATATTCCTCTCCTCTAACTAGTCTCTGTATGCTGTCTGACAGGTGATATTCCTCTCCTCTAACTAGTCTCTGTGTGCTGTCTGACAGGTGGTAGGATATTCCTCTACTCTAACTAGTCTCTGTATGCTGTCTGACAGGTGGTAGGATATTCCTCTCCTCTAACTAGTCTCTGTATGCTGTCTGACAGGTGATATTCCTCTCCTCTAACTAGTCTCTGTGTGCTGTCTGACAGGTGGTAGGATATTCCTCTACTCTAACTAGTCTCTGTATGCTGTCTGACAGGTGGTAGGATATTCCTCTCCTCTAACTAGTCTCTGTATGCTGTCTGACAGGTGATATTCCTCTCCTCTAACTAGTCTCAGTATGCTGTCTGACAGGTGATATTCCTCTCCTCTAACTAGTCTCTGTATGCTGTCTGACAGGTGATATTCCTCTCCTCTAACTAGTCTCTGTATGCTGTCTGACAGGTGGTAGGATATTCCTCTCCTCTAACTAGTCTCTGTATGCTGTCTGACAGGTGGTAGGATATTCCTCTCCTCTAACTAGTCTCTGTATGCTGTCTGACAGGTGATATTCCTCTCCTCTAACTAGTCTCTGTATGCTGTCTGACAGGTGATATTCCTCTCCTCTAACTAGTCTCTGTGTGCTGTCTGACAGGTGGTAGGATATTCCTCTCCTCTAACTAGTCTCTGTATGCTGTCTGACAGGTGGTAGGATATTCCTCTCCTCTAACTAGTCTCTGTATGCTGTCTGACAGGTGATATTCCTCTCCTCTAACTAGTCTCTGTATGCTGTCTGACAGGTGGTAGGATATTCCTCTCCTCTAACTAGTCTCTGTATGCTGTCTGACAGGTGATATTCCTCTACTCTAACTAGTCTCTGTATGCTGTCTGACAGGTGATATTCCTCTCCTCTAACTAGTCTCTGTATGCCGTCTGACAGGTGGTAGGATATTCCTCTCCTCTAACTAGTCTCTGTATGCTGTCTGACAGGTGATATTCCTCTCCTCTAACTAGTCTCTGTATGCTGTCTGACAGGTGATATTCCTCTCCTCTAACTAGTCTCTGTGTGCTGTCTGACAGGTGGTAGGATATTCCTCTCCTCTAACTAGTCTCTGTATGCTGTCTGACAGGTGATATTCCTCTCCTCTAACTAGTCTCTGTGTGCTGTCTGACAGGTGGTAGGATATTCCTCTCCTCTAACTAGTCTCTGTATGCTGTCTGACAGGTGATATTCCTCTACTCTAACTAGTCTCTGTATGCTGTCTGACAGGTGGTATTCCTCTCCTCTAACTAGTCTCTGTATGCTGTCTGACAGGTTGATATTCCTCTCCTCTAACTAGTCTCTGTATGCTGTCTGACAGGTGGTAGGATATTCCTCTCCTCTAACTAGTCTCTGTATGCTGTCTGACAGGTGATATTCCTCTCCTCTAACTAGTCTCTGTATGCTGTCTGACAGGTGATATTCCTCTCCTCTAACTAGTCTCTGTATGCTGTCTGACAGGTGGTAGGATATTCCTCTACTCTAACTAGTCTCTGTATGCTGTCTGACAGGTGGTATTCCTCTCCTCTAACTAGTCTCTGTATGCTGTCTGACAGGTGATATTCCTCTCCTCTAACTAGTCTCTGTATGCTGTCTGACAGGTGGTAGGATATTCCTCTCCTCTAACTAGTCTCTGTATGCTGTCTGACAGGTGATATTCCTCTCCTCTAACTAGTCTCTGTATGCTGTCTGACAGGTGATATTCCTCTCCTCTAACTAGTCTCTGTATGCGTCTGACAGGTGGTAGGATATTCCTCTCCTCTAACTAGTCTCTGTATGCTGTCTGACAGGTGGTAGGATATTCCTCTCCTCTAACTAGTCTCTGTATGCTGTCTGACAGGTGATATTCCTCTCCTCTAACTAGTCTCTGTATGCTGTCTGACAGGTGGTAGGATATTCCTCTCCTCTAACTAGTCTCTGTATGCTGTCTGACAGGTGATATTCCTCTCCTCTAACTAGTCTCTGTATGCTGTCTGACAGGTGGTAGGATATTCCTCTCCTCTAACTAGTCTCTGTATGCTGTCTGACAGGTGATATTCCTCTCCTCTAACTAGTCTCAGTATGCTGTCTGACAGGTGATATCCTCTCCTCTAACTAGTCTCAGTATGCTGTCTGACAGGTGATATTCCTCTCCTCTAACTAGTCTCAGTATGCTGTCCTGACAGGTGATATTCCTCTCCTCTAACTAGTCTCAGTATGCTGTCTGACAGGTGATATTCCTCTCCTCTAACTAGTCTCTGTATGCTGTCTGACAGGTGATATTCCTCTCCTCTAACTAGTCTCTGTATGCTGTCTGACAGGTGGTAGGATATTCCTCTACTCTAACTAGTCTCTGTATGCTGTCTGACAGGTGGTATGATATTCCTCTCCTCTAACTAGTCTCTGTATGCTGTCTGACAGGTGATATTCCTCTACTCTAACTAGTCTCTGTATGCTGTCTGACAGGTGGTAGGATATTCCTCTCCTCTAACTAGTCTCTGTATGCTGTCTGACAGGTGGTAGGATATTCCTCTCCTCTAACTAGTCTCTGTATGCTGTCTGACAGGTGATATTCCTCTCCTCTAACTAGTCTCTGTATGCTGTCTGACAGGTGATATTCCTCTCCTCTAACTAGTCTCTGTATGCTGTCTGACAGGTGGTAGGATATTCCTCTCCTCTAACTAGTCTCAGTATGCTGCGCGTGTGAGAAATAAAATGCATGACGACTAACGAAAATACACACGCGCCAATTTAATTCCACAAAATTATGCAAATGTACCTATAGACCGATAAGCATGACAGTCAAATGTATTTTCAGCAGCTAACCGATTAACGGTTAACCGTTAACATCCCTAACTTGAGTAAAAGTATCTGGTTTTAAATGTACTTAAGTACAGTGGTGGAAAAAGTACAACATGTTCATACTTGAGTAAAGGGTACAAAGTGAAAGTAAATGCTGTACATCAAATTCCTTGCATTACGCAAACCGGACTGCACAATTTATTTTTACGGACAGACAGCGGCACACTGCAACTCTCAGACACCATTTACAAACACAGTATTTGTGTTTAGTGATTCAGCAGGTCACAGGCAGTAGGGATCACAACGCGTTATATTGATAGGTGCGTGAATTGGATCATAATTCCGTCCTGCCTGAGCATTCTAAATGTAATGAGTAGTTTTTGGTGTCAGGGAAATTTATGGGAGTAAAAAGTATATATTTTCTTTAGGGATGTAGTGGAGTAAAAGTAAAAGTTGTGTGTGTGTGTGTACGTGTACGTGTGTGTGTGTTTGTGTGTGTGTGTGTACGTGTGTTTGTGTGTGTGTACGTGTGTTTGTGTGTGTGTGTTTGTGTGTGTGTAGCTGGAATCCCATGGCAGGAGGAGCGAGGAGGCGTTGCTGATGGCAGACGCGTTTCGGATCGCCTTCGAACAGCAGCTCAGGAGGCGCAGCGACCACTTCCTGCTTCTGGGCGAGACAGACAGGAACAAGCCCCGCCCACTCAGGCCAGAAGGTATACTGTATTGTCCTCACTTCAACAAGACATAGAAACATGGAAGTTAATGTTCTGTGTGTCACAGTCAATGGTGTATATAAACATCTATATAATATTGATATACAGTGCATTCGGAAATTATTCAGACCCCTTGACTTTTTCTACATTTTGTTACGTTACAGCCTTATTCTAAAATGGATTAAAGTACTTTTTTCCTCAGCAATCTACACACAATAACCCATAATGACAAAGCAAAAACAGTTTTTTAGAAATTTTTGCAAATGTATAAAAAATAAAAAACAGAAATACCTTATTTACATAAGTATTCAGACCCTTTACTATGAGACTCGAAATTGAGCTCAGGTGCATCCTGTTTCCATTGATCATCCTTGAGATGTTTCTACAACTTGATTAGAGTCCACCTGAAGTATGGTGGTGGCAGCATCATGCTGTGGGGATGTTTTTCAGCGGCAGGGACTGGGAGACTAGTCAGGATCGAGGGAAAGATGAACGGAGCAAAGTACAGAGAGATCCTTGATGAAAACCTGCTCCAGAGCGCTCAGAACCTCAGACTGGGGCGAAGGTTCACCTTCCAACAGGACATCGACCCTAAGCACACAGCCAAAACAATGCATGAGTGGCTTCGGGACATGTCTCTGAATGTCCTTGAGTGGCCCAGCCAGAGCCAGGACTTGAACCCGATCGAACATCTCTGGATAGACCTGAAAATAGCTGTGCAGCGACGCTCCCCATCCAACCTGACAGAGCTTGAGAGGATCTGCAGAGAAGAATGGGAGAAACTCCCAAAATACAGGTGTGCCAAGCATGTAGCGTCATACCCAAGAAGACTCGAGGCAGTAATCGCTGCCAAAGGTGCTTCAACAAAGTACTGATTAAAGGGTCTGAATACTTATGTAAATGTAATATGAACAAAAATGTCTTACAACCTGTTTTTGCTTTGTCATTGTGTGTAGATTGATGAGGGAAAAAAACATTTAATCAATTTTAGAATAAGGGTGTAACGTAACAAAATGTGGAAAAGGTCAAGGGGTCTGAATTCTTTCCGAATGCACTGATACATCATTGATCACACTGTTTTTAAGACAAAATAAGTGAGGCTGTTTGTACAGTACAGTGAATGTACAGTGAATGAATGAATCAATGATTGAATGAATGAATGAATGAATGAATGAATGAATGAATGAATGACTGGCTATATCTGTGTATTGCAGGCAAGGATAAGAGAGCATCTCTCAGTGTGGCTCAGAGACTTAGAGGACTGCTGCCGTCCAGCACAGAGATCACAGACGACCCCACAGAGACTCTGCACAAACTCCTCGACCTGGTCTGTACTGTACTGGACCCACACCCTAATACAGCAGACTGGACCCACACCCTAATACAGCAGACTGGACCCACACCCTAATACAGCAGACTGGACCCACACCCTAATACAGTAGACTGGACCCACACCCTAATACAGTAGACTGGACCCACACCCTAATACAGTAGACTGGACCCACACCCTAATACAGTAGACTGGACCCACACCCCTAATACAGTAGACTGGACCCACACCCTAATACAGTAGACTGGACCCACACCCTAATACAGTAGACTGGACCCACACCCTAATACAGTAGACTGGACCCACACCCTAATACAGTAGACTGGACCCACACCCTAATACAGCAGACTGGACCCACACCCTAATACAGTAGACTGGACCCACCCTAATACAGTAGACTGGACCCACACCCTAATACAGTAGACTGGACCCACACCCTAATACAGTAGACTGGACCCACACCCTAATACAGTAGACTGGACCCACACCCTAATACAGTAGACTGGACCCACACCCTAATACTGTAGACTGGACCCACACCCTAATACAGTAGACTGGACCCACACCCTAATACAGTAGACTGGACCCACACCCCTAATACAGTAGACTGGACCCACACCCTAATACAGCAGACTGGACCCACACCCTAATACAGTAGACTGGACCCACACCCTAATACAGTAGACTGGACCCACACCCTAATACAGTAGACTGGACCCACACCCTAATACAGCAGACTGGACCCACACCCTAATACAGCAGACTGGACCCACACCCTAATACAGCAGACTGGACCCACACCCTAATACAGCAGACTGGACCCACACCCTAATACAGCAGACTGGACCCACACCCTAATACAGCAGACTGGACCCACACCCTAATACAGCAGACTGGACCCACACCCTAATACAGTAGACTGGACCCACCCTAATACAGTAGACTGGACCCACACCCTAATACAGTAGACTGGACCCAACACCTATACAGTAGACTGGACCCACACACTAATACAGTAGACTGGACCCACACCCTAATACAGTAGACTGGACCCACACCCTAATACAGTAGACTGGACCCACACCTAATTACAGTAGATGGATCCCACACCCTAATACAGCAGACTGGACCCACACCCTAATACAGCAGACTGGACCCACACCCTAATACAGTAGACTGACCCACACCCTAATACAGTAGACTGGACACCACCCTAATACAAGCAGACTGGACCCACACCACTAATACAAGTAGACTGGACCCACACCCTAATACAGTAGACTGGACCCACACCTAATACAGCAGACTGGACCACACCCTAATACAGTAGACTGGACCCACCCCTAATACAGTAGACTGGACCCACACCCTAATACAGTAGACTGGACCCACCACCTAATACAGTATACTGGACCCACACCCTAATACAGTAGACTGGACCCACACCCTAATACAGTAGACTGGACCCACACCCTAATACAGTAGACTGGACCCACACCCTAATACAGTAGACTGGACCCACACCTAATACAGTAGACTGGACCCCACCCTAATACAGTAGACTGGACCCACACCCTAATACAGTAGACTGGACCACCACCCTAATACAGTAGACTGACCCACACCCTAATACAGTAGACTGGACCCACACCCTATACAGTAGACTAGACCCACACCCTAATACAAGTAGACTGGACCCACACCCTAATACAGTTAGACTGGACCCACACCCTAATACAGTAGACTGGACCCACACCCTAATACAGTAGACTGGACCCACCCTAATACAGTAGACTGGACCACACCCTAATACAGTAGACTGGACCCACACCCTAATACAGTAGACTGGACCCACCCTAATACAGTAGACTGGACCCACACCCTAATACAGTAGACTGGACCCACACCCTAATACAGTAGACTGGAACCCACACCCTAATACAGTAGACTGGACCCACACCCTAATACAGTTAGACTGGACCCACACACCCTAATACAGTCAGACTGGACCCACCCCTAATACAGTAGACTGGACCCACCCCTAATACAGTAGACTGGACCCACACCTAATACAGTAGACTGGACCCACACCCTAATACAGTAGACTGGACCCAACCCTATACAGTAGACTGGACCCACCCTAAACAGTAGACTGGACCCACACCTATACAGTAGACTGGACCCACCCCCTAATACAGTAGACTGGACCCACACCCTAATACAGTAGACTGGACCCACCCCCTAATACAGCAGACTGGACCCACACCCTAATACAGTAGACTGGACCCACACCCTAATACAGTAGACTGGACCCACACCCTAATACAGTAGACTGGACCCACACCCTAATACAGTAGGACTGGACCCACACCGAATACAGTAGACTGGACCCACCCCTAATACAGTAGACTGGACCCACCCTAATACAGCAGACTGGACCCACACCCTAATACAGAGACTGGACCCAAACACCTAATACAGTAGACTGGACCCACCCTAATACAGTAGACTGGACCCACACCCTAATACAGTAGACTGGACCCACCCTAATACGGTAGACTGGACCCACACCCTAATACAGTAGATGACCCACGGAAAGTGAACGGACCAAATACAGAGATGGAAACCCTACCAACGCTAGATGAACCTCAGACTGGGGCAAAGGTCACCTCCAAACAGAAACTGACCACTACGTAGCACTGACCCAACACAATAGCAGTATGGACTTGGACCAAGTCCCTGAATGTCGAGATGGCCCAACCAAGCCAGGACTTGAACCCGAAGAACATCTCTGGAAGCCTAAAATAGACTGGCCAGCACGCTCTCCCATCCAACCTGACAGAGCTGGAGCCATCCTAACGAAGATGGACACGAATACAGTAGACTGCCCAAAATACAGGTGTGGCCACATAATCGTAGCGGCAACCCAAAGAGATGGACCCAGGCCAGTAATCGCTGGACCCAAGGCCTTCAACAAAGTACTGAATTAAGAGGCTGAACTCACTATAGTAGACTGAAATGAATACGTATGTACTATCCCTTATACATTGTGACCCACACAAAGTATGGCTTACACCTATCTTGTGCTGTACCACTATCGTGTGGAGATTGAGAGCGGGAAAAAACCAATATTAATCATTACGAATAAGGCTGGACACGTAACCAAAAGTAGAGAAAATAGTCAAGGGTCGAATACTTTCCGAATGCACCTGATACATCACTGACACACTTTTTTAAGGACCAACAATAAGTGACTGGGACACCTAATACATGATGACACAGAACAATGATTAATGATGGACAATAATAATGAATGACCAATAATGAATGAATGAAACCTGAATGAAGGAATGGAAACGAAAATAGAATGACACATGAATGAAGAGAATGGCAACCCTGAATTGCAGAATGATAAGGACCCAACCTATCAGTGATGGACCAACCCGAATCAGAGACTGGACGTCCAGCACAATGATCACAGAGAGACCACCCCTAAACAGTAGACCTGGACCCAAACCCTAGACTGGTGTACTGGACATGGACACCCACACCCTAATACAGAGACTGGACCCACACCCTAATACAGCAGACTGGACCCACACCCTAATACAGCAGACTGGACCCACACCCTAATACAGTAGACTGGACCCACACCCTAATACAGAGACTGGACCCACACCCTAATACAGTAGACTGGACCCACACCTAATACAGTAGACTGGACCCACCCTAATACAGTAGACTGGACCCACACCCTAATACAGTAGACTGGACCCACACCCTAATACAGTAGACTGGACCCACACCCTAATACAGTAGACTGGACCCACCCCCTAATACAGTAGACTGGACCCACAACCCCTAATACAGTAGACTGGACCCACACCCTAATACAGTAGACTGGACCCACACCCTAATACAGTAGACTGGACCCACACCCAATACAGTAGACTGGACCCACACCCTAATACAGTAGACTGGACCCACACCCTAATACAGTTAGACTGGACCCACCCTAATACAGTAGACTGGACCCACACCCTAATACAGTAGACTGGACCCACACCCATAAGACAGTATAGACTGGACCCCAAGTAGACTGGACCCACACCCTAATACAGTAGACTGGACCCCATAGAGACTGGACCCACACCCTAATACAGAGACTGGACCCACACCCTAATACAGTAGACTGGACCCACACCCTAATACAGTAGACTGGACCCACACCCTAATACAGTAGACTGGACCCACACCCTAATACAGCAGACTGGACCCACACCCTAATACAGTAGACTGGACCCACACCCTAATACAGCAGACTGGACCCACCCTAATACAGTAGACTGGACCCACACCCTAATACAGTAGACTGGACCCACCACCTAATACAGTAGACTGGACCCACACCCTAATACAGTAGACTGGACCACACCCTAATACAGTAGACTGGACCCACACCCTAATACAGCAGATGGACCCACACCCTAATACAGTAGACTGGACCCCACCCTAATACAGTAGACTGGACCCACCCTAATACAGTAGACTGGACCCACACCCTAATACAGTAGACTGGACCCACACCCTAATACAGTAGACTGGACCCACACCCTAATACAGTAGACTGGACCCACACCCTAATACAGTAGACTGGACCCACACCCTAATACAGTAGACTGGACCCACCCTAATACAGCAGACTGGACCCACACCTAATACAGTAGACTGGACCCACCCCCTAATACAGTAGACTGGACCCACACCCTAATACAGCAGACTGGACCCACACCCTAATACAGTAGACTGGACCCACCCCCTAATACAGTAGACTGGACCCACACCCTAATACAGTAGACTGGACCATAGACTGGACCCACACCCTAATACAGTAGACTGGACCCACACCCTAATACAGTAGACTGGACCCACACCCTAATACAGTAGACTGGACCCACACCCTAATACAGTAGACTGGACCCACACCCTAATACAGTAGACTGGACCCACCCTAATACAGTAGACTGGACCCACACCCTAATACAGTAGACTGGACCCACCCTAATACAGTAGACTGGACCCACACCCTAATACAGTAGACTGGACCCACACCCTAATACAGTAGACTGGACCCAACCCTAATACAGTCTAGACTGGACCCACCCTAATACAGTAGACTGGACCCACACCCTAATACAGTGCTGGACCAACCCTAATACAGTAGACTGGACCCACACCCTAATACAGTAGACTGGCCCACCCATCGTAGACTGGACCCACACCCTAATACAGAGACTGGACCCACACCCTAATACAGTAGACTGGACCCACACCCTAATACAGTAGACTGGACCCACCCTAATACAGTAGACTGGACCCACACCCTAATACAGTAGACTGGACCCACACCCTAATACAGTAGACTGGACCCACCCTAATACAGTAGACTGGACCCACACCACTAATACAGTAGACTGGACCCACACCCTAATACAGAGACTGGACCCACACCCTAATACAGTAGACTGGACCCACACCCTAATACAGTAGACTGGACCCACACCTAATACAGTAGACTGGACCCACCCTAATACAGTAGACTGGACCACACCCTAATACAGTAGACTGGACCCACACCCTAATAAGTAGACGGACCCTATAAGTAGACTGGACCACCCTAAAGGCGGACCCACCCTAATACAGTAGACTGGACCCACACCCTAATACAGTAGACTGGACCCACACCCTAATACAGTAGACTGGACCCACACCAAAAAGCTGACAACTATACGTAGACTGGACCCACACCCTAATACAGAGACTGGACCACACCCTAATACAGTAGACTGGACCCACACCCTAATACAGTAGACTGGACCCACCCTAATACAGTAGACTGGACCCACCCCCTAATACAGTAGACTGGACCCACACCCTAATACAGTAGACTGGACCCACACCCTAATACAGTAGACTGGACCCACACCCTAATACAGTAGACTGGACCCACACCCTAATACAGTAGACTGGACCCACACCCTAATACAGTAGACTGGACCCACCCTAATACAGTAGACTGGACCCACACCCTAATACATAGTGACTGGACCCACACCCTAATACAGTAGACTGGACCCACACCCTAATACAGTAGAACTGGACCCACACCCTAATACAGTAGACTGGACCCACACCCTAACTACAGTAGACTGGACCCACACCCTAATACAGTAGACTGGACCCACACCCTAATACAGTAGACTGGACCCACACCCTAATACAGTAAGACCCCTGGAGACCCACACCCTAATACAGTAGACTGGACCCACACCCTAATACAGAGACTGGACCCAACCCTAATACAGAGACTGGACCCACACCCTAATACAGTAGACTGGCCCTGCATAATTAGGGCCATGAATATTTCCTGTCCAGTGGATAAATAAATTAGAATATGGGTTTATATTTGTAGAAGTTCAGGTAGTATTTCAAACGTTCAAAAATGTGATCGGCTTTTAAGTCCTCCTCAAGTTATGTCAATCTTATCTCTATTTATTTGGATTTCTTGGTTCTCTTCTGTCTCTCTCTCTCTGCTACTCTATCTATCTCTCTATCTCTCTCTCTCTCTCTCTAGACTCTCTCTCCTCTCTCTCTCTCTCTCCTATCCCCCTTATCTCTCCCCCCATCTCCCTGTGTAGTGAGTGATAAGGAAGAAGCTCTAGCTCACCAGAGGAAGGTTAGCTTCATGCTAGCCCGCAACACAGAGGAACTAGAGCGACGGTTGCAGACAGACTATATGCTGCAGACACAGGTCACACCACCCCCACACCGTTCTTCAGACACCCACACATGCAAGTCCAACCATGCAGGCACAGGCAGCTGCAGTTCCAACCATGTCCAGGAGAGGGCAGGAGAGGACCAGTGTTATGGTGGGGCATCATCATCAGAATCAGACGCCACAGACCTCCAGCCCTCCGAGATCCAAGAGGCTGAGACTGAAGCCACCGACCTCCAGATACAGGGCCTCTCTCTGGTGCAGTCACCCATCGAGAGAGAGGGAGTTGATAAGCGAGGTGGAAGAGAGGGCCATCTGGTCACCCTACTATGAACTGTTTGTCATCAGAGAGTGATGCTGCCTGGTCTTCTTACTGCCGTGCATTGCTTGAAGTGGAATTAAATGTGTGCCGGCACTCATTCTGGGTTCCCGACACTCATGATATTTAGGTGAAAGGTATTCATAATTTATTAGAGGCAATGTTCTTTAAGAGGTGCCGGTACTCTAGTAGAAAATTAGAGGTGCCTGCACTCGGTTCCTCTGTGTACCAGCCCAATTCAAGCTGCCGCTGTGCATCTGACTTGTCTTTCCTCTATAAGCCTGCTTTTACCTGAATATATCAGCCTCTGTGCAGACGTTGAGATTACATTTTATGTTAATAATTCCTAGCACATTAGAATTTATAGAAAGTGACTGAATGCTTTATATTTTGCTAAACCTCTTGCTCCGAATATTTCCTGAGCTCTGATAAGATATTTTAATGTATCCACCAATGAAATGTTATGATGGTCAAAATAATGAAGTGAAATTATTTAGAGTTGTGTTGCTGTGTGTAGAATTGTTCAATTGTTATTTTTTTGTCATGCAAATGTAAGAAATGGATATGTGCCAATGTTGATGAAACTGATTACACAATGTATTTATACCAAATTACATATAGCCTCTGCCTCCTTTCAAGCCATTGGGCGCGTTTGAGTGGGAAGGCGAAATCAACTGGCTGTAGACGAAAGTCGAGGAGTGAAGTCAGGGAAGTGTATCTGCGACAGCCGAAAGTCACAATTTACCCACAACTCACCATGGATTTGATGCTCTCAAACATGGCCCTTGACCTCTGACTGCAGTCAACTTCATGAACTTTGATCACATGATTTCTGTAAAGTTCATGCAATCGACATGTAGGCACAAGTCGGACAATTTCTATCCCCATAATGCAACACACTTTGAAAGCGACATGACAAAATTAACCCACTCGAACGCGCCCAATGACTGTTCAAGCTCATAAAGCAGGAATCTTAGTTATCAAATCCCACAATCCAATGCGACCAACACAGACAGCAGTGAGACAAAGGAATGTGTAGTATCGGTGGGGAAAGCTGTGTGTTAGCTGTATGGGTACCCATGGTGCTGGAGATCAGAACTGTCCGGTGAGAGAAAGGCCTAATGTATGCCAAATGTATGACCACAGAGACACATATTTCCCACAGATCACACAGACCCACATAGAATTTGAAAACAAATCAAACATTGATAAACTCCCATATCGGTTAGGCGAAATACCGCAGTGTGCAATCACAGCATCAAGATTTGTGGCCTGTTGCCATGACAAAAGAGCAACCAGTGAAGCACAAACTACATGGTAAATACCACCAATATTTACCTGTTTACTTATCTTCCACTACTATTTGCACATTGCTAAAACACTGTACATAGCTGATAATATAACACTTGAAATGTCTATCTTTTTAAAACCTTTTTGAGTGCAATATTTACTGTTCAATTCTAATCTTTTTTTGTTGATGTTGTGTCTTCTCACTTTTGTTTACTGTTTATCTCACTTGCTTTGGCAATGTAAACATGTGTTTCCCATGCCAATAAAGCCCTTTTGAATTGAATTAAAAGGCAGGTCGAGGTTGCCAGGATCAGAGTAGTACAGAAGGTATGCTGAGGCGGTGAAGAGAGGTCCAGGGCGAGGGATCCTGAGAGGCTCCCTGTGAGTAGGCCGAGGCCAACCGAGAGTGATATGAATAACATATGTTTCAGTAAGGTTGGTTTCTGAGCGTTCATAGCCATGGTTATCAACTGTACTGCAGAAATGGAACATACACTGAACAAAAATATAAACGCAACACGTAAAGTGTCCCATGTTTCATGAGCTTCTTCACCTGCGGGATTGCCTGAGACCAGCCACCCGGCCAGCTGATGAAACTGTGGGTTTGCACAACCGAAGAATTTCTGCACAAACTGTCAGAAACTGTCTCAGGGAAGGTCATCTGCGTGCTCGTCGTCCTCACCAGGGTCTTGACCTGACTGTAGTTCGGGGGCAAATGCTTTAGTGGGCAAATGTTCACCTTCGATGACCACTGGCACGCTGGAGAAGTGTGCTCTTTATGGATGAATCCCGGTTTCAACTGTACCGGGCAGATGGCAGACGGCGTGTTTGGCGTCGTGTGGGCGAGTGGTTTGCTGATGTCAACGTTGTGAACAGAGTGCCCCATGGTGGGGTTATGGTATGAGCAGGCATAAGCTACAGACAACGAACACAATCACATTTTATCGATGGCAATTTGAATGCACAGAGATACTGTGATGCGATCCTGAGACCCATTGTCGTGCCATTCATCCGCCGCCATCCCCTCGTGTTTCAGCATGATAATGCACGGCCCCTTGTCGCAAGGATCTGTACACAATTTCTGGAAGCTGAAAATGTCTCAGTTCTTCCATGGCCTGCATAATCACCAGACATATCACCCATTGAGCATGTTTGGGATGCTCTGGATTGATGTGAACGACAGCATGTTTCCGGTTCCCGCCAATGTCTAACAACTTTGCACCGCCATTGAAGAGGAGTGGGACAACATTCCACAGGCCACAATCAACAGCCTAATCAACTCTATGCAAAGGAGATGTGTCGCTCTGCATGGCAAATGGTGGTCACATCAGATACTAACTGGTTTTCTGATCCACGCCCCTACTTTTTTTTTTTAAGGTATCTGTGACCAACAGATGCATATCTGTATTCCCAGTCATGTGAAATCCATAGATTAGGGCTTAATGAATGTATTTCAATTGACAGATTTCCTTAACTGTAACTCAGTAAAATCTTAGAAATTGTTCATGTTGGTTTTATTTTTGTTGGTATAATAGTAAGGTTATGTATGTAGGTTAGTGCATGTGGCGAGAGTTAATGGGTGTAGGTATCAATTGCCTGTAATGGATGTAGGTTCGGTAATGGATTTTAGGGTCCAGTATGGTATTAGTGCAGTGAGTATAATGTGTTGGTAGTTTTAGGTGGAGTTTAGGAGTAAGGTTATGGATGTGGTGAGCTTTTAATGGGTGTATGGGTTTGTGGTAAGTGTATAATGGGTGTAGGTAGTTGTATATGTGAGGTTAATAGGTGTAGGGTATAGTTGGTCTAGCTGGTGAGTTTAATGGTGTGAGAGTTAGTGGATAGTGGTGAGGTTTTAAGGTGTAGGGTTAGTTGGTATAGTGGTGAGGGTTTTAATGGGTGTAGGGTTAGTTGGTATAGTGGTGAGGTTTTAATGGGTGGAGGGTTAGTTGGTATAGTGGTGAGGTTTTAATGGGTGTAGGGTAGTTGGTATAGTGGTGAGGTTTTAATGGGTGGGTTAGTGGTATAGTGGTGAGGTTTTAATGGGTGTAGGGTTAGTGGTATAGTGGTGGTTTTAAGGGTAGGGTTAGGTAGTGGTGTTTGGTATAGTTGGTTGAGGTTTTAATGGGTGTTGGGTTAGTTGGTATAGTGGGGAGGTTTTAATGGGTGTAGGGTTAGTTGGTATAGTGGGGAGGTTTTAATGGGTGTAGGGTTAGTTGGTATAGTGGGGAGGTTTTAATGGGTGGGTAGGGTTAGTTGGTAGTAGTGGTTAGGTTTGTAGGTTTAATGGGTGGAGGGTTAGTTGGTTATAGTGGTGAGGTTTTAATGGGTGGAGGGTTAGTTGGTATAGTGGTGAGGTTTTAATGGGTGTAGGGTTAGTTGGTATAGTGGTGAGGTTTTAATGGGTGTAGGGTTAGTTGGTATAGTGGTGAGGTTTTAATGGGTGTAGGGTTAGTTGGTATAGTGGTGAGGTTTTAATGGGTGGAGGGGTTAGTTGGTATAGTGGTGAGGTTTTAATGGGTGGAGGGTTAGTTGGTTATAGTGGTGAGGTTTTTAATGGGGTGTAGGGTTAGTTGGTATAGTGGTGAGGTTTTAATGGGTGTAGGGTTAGTTGGTATAGTGGTGAGGTTTTAATGGGTGGAGGGTTAGTTGGTATAGTGGTGAGGTTTTAATGGGTGTAGGGTTAGTTGGTATAGTGGTGAGGTTTTAATGGGTGTAGGGTTTAGTGGTATAGTGGTGAGGTTTTAATGGGTGTAGGTTTAGTTGGGTATAGTGGTGAGGTTTTAATGGGTGTAGGGTTAGTGGTATAGTGGTGAGGTTTTAATGGGTGGAGGGTTGGTTATGTGGTGAGTTTAATGGTGAGGGTAGTGGTGTGGTGAGGTTTTAATGGGTAGGGGTTAGTTGGTATAGTGGTGAGGTTTTAATGGGTGTGAGGGTTAGTCGGTATAGTGGTGAGGTTTTAATGGGTGGTAGGGTTAGTTGGTATAGTGGTAGGTTTTAATGGGTGGTAGGGTGGTGAGGTTTTTGGGGGGTTAGTCGGTTAGTGGTGAGGTTTTAATGGGTGGAGGGTTTTAGTGGTATGTATGTTAGTGGTGTGTAGTTGGATAGTGGTGAGGTTTTAATGGGTGGTAGTGGTTAGTGGTGGGTTTATGTGGTGAGGTTTTGGTATAGGGTGGGAGGGTAGTTGGTATAGTGGTGAGGTTTTTTTTAATGGGTGTAGGGTTAGTTGGTATAGTGGTGAGGTTTTAATGGGTGTGTAGGGTTAGTTGGTATAGTGGTGAGGTTTTAATGGTGTAGGGTTAGTTGGTATAGTGGTGAGGTTTTAATGGGTGTAGCGTGTTAGTCGGTATCAGTGGTGAGTGTTTTTAATGGGGTGGAGGGTTAGTCGGTATAGTGGTGAGGTTTTAATGGGTGGAGGGTTAGTTGGTAGGGACATTTTTGTTCCCTTTTCAACGTCCTTTTCCCTTTCCTTTTTTGTGTCACAAAGTGTAATGAATTCACACGCCAGAACAGTAGTCGGAAAGACATGGCTAGATAAGAGAAAAATATATATAATAGCCCCACACTCCAGTACAGTAGGTGGCGGTGTATGTACCTTTCAGTTGGTTGCGGTCCGCCAATACAAATTTAAAGAAGAAGAAGACCAAACACGGAAGCGCACGTTTGAACAAAATCAGCTTTGCTACTGCTGTATTTTACATGCATTTTGCAGTATTTAATGGGTGTTTTAAATAGCCCAAGTTTAAGCCGTTTGCGAGTTATTGTTCTTATATTGACTGGAAGCTTTGTATTGTGTGTCGTCTGGAATTTGAAGCCTAAAACGCCAGAGATATCCACAGGTAGGCTAGCATGCTAACGTTCTCTAAACGCACTGCTCTCTGACTATGATTGCACTTAGTTGCCAAGAGTCCAACATCACTGTTCAAATCAAATTGTATTTGTCACATGCGCCGAATACAACAGGTGTAAACCTTACAGTGAAATGCTTACTTACAAGCCCTTAACCAACAATGCAGTTTTAAGAAAAATAAGTGTTAAGTAAAACAATAGATAAGTAAAATAATTAAAGAGCAACAGTAAAATAACAGTAGTGAGGCTAAATACAGGGGGTACCGGTACAGAGGCAATGTGAGGGGGCACAGGTTAGTTAAGGTAATATGTACATGTAGTTAGAGTTAAAGTGACTATGCATAGATAATAAACAGAGAGTAGTAGCAGCAGCGTAAAAGTGGGGGTGGGGGGAACAATGCAAATAGTCCGGGTAGCAATTTGATTAGCTGTTCAGGAGTCTTATCAAATCAAGTCAAATTTTATTTGCCACATGTGCCGAATACAACAGGTGTAGACATTACAGTGAAATGCAAATAGTCCGGGTAGCCATGATTAGCTGTTCAGGAGTCTTATGGCTTGGGGGTAGAAGCTGTTGAGAAGCCTTTTGGACCTAGACTTGCCGTGCGGTAGCAGAGAGAACAGTCTATGACTAGGGTGGCTTGAGTCTTTGACAATTTTTAGGGTCTTCCTCTGACACCGCCTGGTATAGAGGTCCTGGATGGCAGGAAGCTTGACCCCAGTGATGTACTGGGCCGTACGCACTACCCTCTGTAGTGCCTTGCGGTCGGAGGCCGAGCAGTTGCCATACCAGGCGGTGATGCAACCAGTCAGGATGCTCTCGATGGTGCAGCTGTATAACTTTTTGAGGATCTGAGGACCCATGCCAAATATTTTCAGTCTCCTGAGGGGGAATAGGTTTTGTCGTGCCCTCTTCACGACTGTCTTTGTGTGTTTGGACCATGATAGTTTGTTGGTGATATGGACACCAAGGAACTTGAAGCTCTCAACCTGTTCCACTACAGCCCCGTCGATGAGAATGGGGGCGTGCTCAGTCCTCTTTTTTTTCCTGTAGTCCACAATCATCTCCTTTGTCTTGATCACGTTGAGGGAGAGGTTGTTATCCTGGCACCACACGGCCAGGTCTCTGACCTCCTCCCTATAGGCTGTCTCATCGTTGTCGGTGATCAGGCCTACCACTGTTGTGTCGTCGGCAAACTTAATGATGGTGTTGGAGTCGTGCCTGGCCATGCAGTGATGGGTGAACAAGGAGTACAGGAGGGGACTGAGCACGCACCCCTGAGGGGCCCCCGTGTTGAGGATCAGCGTGGCAGACGTGTTGTTACCTACCCTTACCACCTGAGTGCGGCCCGTCAGGAAGTCCAGGATCCAGTTGCAGAGGGAGGTGTTTAGTCCCAGGATCCTTAGCTTAGTGATGAGCTATGAGGCCACTATGGTGTTGAATGCTGAGCTGTAGTCAATGAATAGCATTCTCACGTAGGTGTTCCTCTTGTCCAGGTGGGAAAGGGCAGTGTGGAGTGCAATAGAGATTGCATCATCTGTGGATCTGTTGGGGCGGTATGCAAATTGGAGTGGGTCTAGAGTTTCTGGGATAATGGTGTTGATATGAGCCATGACCAGCCTTTCAAAGCACTTCATAGCTACAGACATGAGTTGCTACGGGTCGGTAGTCATTTAGACAGGTTATCTTAGTGTTCTTGGGCACAGGGACTATGGTGATCTGCTTGAAACATGTTGGTATTACAGACTCAGTCAGGGACATGTTAAAAATGTCAGTGAAGACACTTGCCAGTTGGTCAGCACATGCTCGGAGTACATGTCCTGGTAATCCGTCTGGCCCTGCGGCCTTGTGAATGTTGACTTAAGGGTAGAAGCTGTTAAGAAGCCTTTTGGACCTAGACTTGGCACTCCGGTACCGCTTGCCGTGCGGTAGCAGAGAGAACAGTCTATGACTAGGGTGGCTGGAGTCTTTGACAATTTTTAGGGTCTTTCTCTGACACCGCCTGTTATAGAGGTCCTGGATGGCAGGAAGCTTGGCCCCAGTGATGTACTGGGCCGTACGCACTACCATCTGTAGTGCCTTGCAGTCGGAGGCCAAGCAGTTGCCATACCAGGCAGTGATGCAACCAGTCAGGATGCTCTCGATGGTGCAGCTGTATAACTTTTTAAGGATTTGAGGACCCATGTTACACAGGCATATGACACGCTAGTTTAATGTCTTGTGCGTATGTTTAATGTCTCGTGAATAACACAACCTAGCTTGGTTAATTGCTGACAGTAGTATAAACACATTGTATATAGAAGTATAAAATCACTAGAGCTAGCTATCCAAACAGTTATATCAAAGATTTGTATAACTAACCCAAGATAGACCACAGCCTGTTGTTTCCAATGGGAGCAAATGAAGCATAGTGGGCAGAGTCAAGCACGAGCTAGCGAGAGCCTATTGTCGCGTTCTAGCATGTATTTGCATTTTTCCGTTAGGGAAAGCCTACTCTGAAGTGGGCTTGTGCAATAACTTGATTCGCCCTTGCAATCCTTCTAAACAATGCACTTTAAAAATAACTTGGGCAAAGGCTAAAGTCTACAAAAACGTATTCCACTCTGTTTGTAACATATTCTAGTTTTGGAAACTGAAAACTGTTTTGAGATCAAATGTTTCATTGATGAGAAAATTAAAATGGGCAGAATTTTGGCCAAAATCCATCTCCCTCCATCTTCTCCCACTGCCGGCCTCTGGGCTACCTCTCCACCATATTGGGTAGTGAGTGGAAACGCCAACAGGATGCTTCACATTTATACGTTAGGTGAAATATCTGTCCCATTGTTCTGTCTGTGGTTATATTTCCTGTCTATTTCCATCTCTTATTTCCGGCCGTCACTAGTTACTACAGCCACAAAGTCATCAATTATGGCTAAACCCCGCCTAGTTCTAAAATGTATCTTCTTAAAATGTTTAACCTAACCTTAACCACACTGCTAACCTTATGCCTAACCCTAACCACACTGCTAACCATATGCCTAACCACACTGCTAACCTTATGCCTAACCCTAACCACACTGCTAACCTTATGCCTAACCACACTGCTAACCTTGTGCCTAACCATAACCACACTGCTAACCTTATGTCTAACCTTAACCGCACTGCTAACCTTATGCCTAACCTTAACCACACTGCTAACCTTATGCCTAACCTTAACCACACTGCTAACCTTATGCCTAACCTTAACCACACTGCTAACCTATGCATAACCCACACTGCTACCTTGTGCCTAACCATACATCACACTGCTAACCCTTATGTCTAACCTTAACCACACTGCTAACCTTATGCCTAACCTTAACCACACTGCTAACCTTATGCCGTAACCCTTAAACCACCACTGCTAACCTTATGTCTAACCTTAACCACACTGCTAACCTTATGCCTAACCACACTGCTAACCTTATGCCTAACCCTAACCCTAACCTTATACCTAACCCAAACCCTAACCTTATGCCTAACCCTAACCTTATGCCTAACCCAAACCCTAACCTTATGCCTAACCTTATGCCTAACCCTAACCTTACATTTCAGATGTAAAAGCTCATTTTTGTTTTCATGGATTTATAGCCCATTTTGACTTTGTGGCTGTGGTAATTAGTGACAACCCTTATTTCCTGTCCATGTCTAGAACCGATGAGTGACCAGACTCTGGAGTATTTTCTCAGCCAGGGGAAGATAAATGTGAAGGATGCAGCAGATATTGAATGGGCCCATGCTGCCAACAGCAAGACCAAAATCACAGAGGCACTACAAAGTAAGACCACCTAGGATGGAGAGAGTTATATCAAATAATCTAGAGTGGATATGGTTGTATTCATTATGTTGCCCGTCTTTACACAGGCCCATTATTCCTCTAGAGATGTCATATAATTCTGTGGAAAGTTGGGGCTCTATTAGAAATACATAAGTGACTTGCGCACAACGTAACCCAGAGAGTTATCTGGTTGTAAAGATGCAGTGGAAAAGGTACAGTGGATCAATTCATTTGCTCATTCTAGTATTTCATATCCATACACCCAAGGCTCCGCCCACATGATTGAGGCAGACCTTCTTCTGAGGAGCCACGACCCAAAAGAGCCAATCATGGCTCATCCTCCTGAGACTGACAGCGATGTCACGCTGAGTGATTGGCTGAAGGAGGTCAAGGCGTCAGACAAGGGGATAAAGCTAGACTTCAAAAGGTGAATTATCTTTCTACTAATGATTGTTTAGTACTCGTTATACTTTTTTGTTATACCTTAACTAGCTATAGATGTTCCCTCATTTGTGTATCACCTGTAAGTAGGATGGAATATCGTCCAACCTGTCATAAAGTAAGGAGGCTTGTCTGAGCCAGAACAACACACAGGGCAGGACGCTAACTGCTTGAGTGCCTATTACATTTACATTTACGTCATTTAGCAGACGCTCTTATCCAGAGCGACTTACAGTTAGTGCATACATTATTATTTTCATACTGGCCCCCTGTGGGAAACGAACCCACAACCCTGGCGTTGCAAACGCCATGCTCTATCAACTGAGCTACCTCCCTGCCTGCCATTCCCTCCCCTACCCTGGACGACGCTGGGCCAATTGTGCGCCGCCCCATTGGTCTCCCGGTTGCGGCCGGCTACAGCAGAGCCTGGATTCGAACCAGGATCTCTAGTGGCACAGCTAGTACTGCGATGCAGCGCCTTAGACCACTGCGCCACTCGGGAGGCCGAGTGACCGAGTGACGATAGTATCTTCTGACTAGGGGGGGGGGAGTTTTGTTGAGAGCCCCGACGATTGCTCTAAACGTTAACACGCATCGCTTGCGGTGTGGTTTTGGAAAAATAAGGAACGTATCTTTCATATCAGCGAGAAATAATTGTCAAAAAAAATAAATGTTAAATTACTACGCACCTTTTATAGGGTTAGGGTTCCCACATGGCCATACAGTGCCTTGCAAAAGTATTCACCCCCCTTGGCGTTTTTCCTATTTTGTTGCATTACAACCTGTAATTTAAATTGATTTTTATTTGGATTTCATGTAATGGACATACACAAAATAGTCCAAATTGGTGAAGTGGAATGAAAAAAAAATGACTTGTTTAAAAAAAGTATAAAGAATTAATAACAGAAAAGTGGTGCGTGCATATGTATTCACCCGCTTTGCTATGAAGCCCCTAAATAAGATCTGGTGCAACCAATTTCCTTCAGAAGTCACATAACTAGTTAAATAAAGTCCACCTGTGTGCAATCTAAGTGTCACATAATGTGTCACATGATCTCAGTATACATACACCTGTTCTGAAAGGCCCCAGAGTCTGCAACACCACTAAGCAAGGGGCACCACCAAGCAAGCGGCACCATGAAGACCAAGGAGCTCTCCAAACAGTTCAGGGACAAAGTTGTGGAGAAGTACAGATCGGGGTTGGGTTATAAAAAAAATATCTGAAACTTTGAACATCCCACGGAGCACCATTAAATCCATTATTAAAACATTTAAAGAATATGGCACCACAACAAACCTGCCAAGAGCGGGCCGCACACCAAAACTCACGGCCCAGGCAAGGAGGGCATTAATCAGAGAGGCAACAAAGAGACCAAAGATAACCCTGAAGGAACTGCAAAGCTCCACAGCGGAGATTGGAGTATCTGTCCATAGGACCACTTTAAGCCGTACACTCCACAGAGCTGGGCTTTACGGAAGAGTGGCCAGAAAAAAGCCATTGCTTAAAGAAAAAAATAAGCAAACACGTTTGGTGTTCGCCAAAAGGCATGTGGGAGACTCCCCAAACATATGGAAGGAGGTACTCTGGTCAGATGAGACTAAAATTGAGCTTTTTGGCCATCAAGGAAAACGCTATGTCTGGTGCAAACCCAACACCTCTCATCACCCCGAGAACACCATCCCCACAGTGAAGCATGGTGGTGGCAGCATCCCAAAAAATAAATTTCATCGGTAGGGACTGGGAAACTGGTCAGAATTGAAGGAATGATGGATGGCGCTAAATACAGGGAAATTCTTGAAGGAAACTTGTTTCAGTCTTCCAGAGATTTGAGACTGGGACGGAGGTTCACCTTCCAGCAGGACAATGACCCTAAGCATACTGCTAAAGCAACACTCGAGTGGTTTAAGGGGAAACATTTAAATGTCTTGGAATGGCCTAGTCAAAGCCCAGACCTCAATCCAATTGAGAATCTGTGGTATGACTTAAAGATTGCTGTACACCAGCGGAACCCATCCAACTTGAAGGAGCTGGAGCAGTTTTGCCTTGAAGAATGGGCAAAAATCCCAGTAGCTAGATGTGCCAAGCTTATAGAGACATACCCCAAGAGACTTGCAGCTGTAATTGCTGCAAAAGGTGACTCTACAAAGTATTGACTTTGGGGGGGGGTGAATAGTTATGCACGCTCAAGTTTTCTGTTTTTTGGTCTTATTTCTTGCTTGTTTCACCCCCAAAAATATTTTGCATCTTCAAAGTGGTAGGCGTGTTATGTAAATCAAATGATACAGACCCCCCAAAAATCCATTTTAATTCTAGGTTGTAAGGCAACAAAATAGGAAAAATGCCAAGGGGGGTGAATACTTTCGCAAGCCACTGTATTTCCATGTTACAGCGCTTGTTTATGGAAAACGGATGGAAGACAGAATGGACTACCTGTGCTAATTGTCTATCTGTGTCTCTGAAAACCTGTGTGAAAATGGAAGACGGACGCCTCAAACGTGTTGTCACCTGAAAAACACTGTCGGCTGCAACTGTGTTAAAACAGTGTGCAGTAAGTGTATATTTAGCATTTATGAAATTATTTTGATGTGATATGAAAGTAGAGGGCTTTGTGTTTCTAGAACCGTACCGCAATTGAGAATCGATTCACATTTAGATGGAGTTATTTGGCTTTTTTGGCATCCAGAGCCAATTCACCTCTAAACAGAACAAGTAATCAATCAATCAATCACATTTATTTTATAAAGTCCTTTTTACATCAGCAGTTGTCACAAAGTGTTTATACAGATACCCAGCCTAAAACCCCAATGCAGATGTAAGGTCCTTGGACGAAAAGGAGTAACGTTAGGCTACTATTAGTTCATTATTGGGCTAGCAGCTAAATCCCCTGTTTCTTTAGTGTGAGGCAGCTTGATGTACACCGCTTGGACAGGACGCTAGTCTATCATACAACCTTTAGGTGTACCCAGATGTTAGTCAGGACTGCGTGGTTTTCTTAGACAGAGCCTATTTCTGGACTAAAAGCTACACTGAACAAAAATACAATCGCAACATGTAAAGTGTTGGTCCCATGTTTCATGAACTGAAATAAAACATTCCAGAAATTGTCCATATGCACAAAAAGCTTATTTCTCTCAGATTTTGTGCACAAATTTGCTTACATCCCTGTTAGTGAGCATTTCTCATTTGCCAAGGTAATCCATCCACCTGACAGGTGTGGCATATCAAGAAGGTGATTAAACAGTATGCTGAGGAATATAAAAAGCCACTCTAAAATGTGCTGTTTTGTCACGCAACACAATGCCACAGATGACTCAAGTTTTGAGGGAGCGTGCAATTGGCATGCTGACTGCAGGAATGTCCACCAGAGCTGTTGCCAGAGAATTTAATGTTAATTTCTCTACCATAAGCCGCCTCCAACGTCATTTTAGAGAATTTGGCAGTACGTCCAACCGCCCTCACACACGCGTGTATGGTGTTGTGTGGGCGAGCGGTTTGCTGATGTCAACGTTGTGAACAGAGTGCCCCATGGTGACGGTGGGGTTATAGTATGGGCAGGCATAAGCGACGGACAACGAACACAATTGCATTTTATCGATGGCAATTTGAATGTACAGAGATACCGTGACGCGATCCTGAGACCCATTGTCGTGCCATTCATCCGCCGACATCACCTCATGTTTCAGCATGATAATGCATGGCCCCATGTCGCAAGGATCTGTACACAATTCCTGGAAGCTGAATTGTGTACATGGCCTGCATACTCACCAGGCATGTCAGTCGTTGAGCATGTTTGGTATGCTCTGGATCGACGTGTACGACAGCGTGTTCCAGTTCCCGACAATATCCAGCAACTTCGCACAGCATTGCTCAACTCTATGCAAAGGAGATGTGTCGTGATGCATGAGGCAAATGGTCACACCAGATACTGACAGGTTTTCTGATCCACGCCCCTACTTTTTCTTTTTAAAGGTATCTGTGACCAACCGATGCATATATATTCCTGGTCATGTGAAATCCATAGATTAGGCCATAATTAATTTATTTAAATTGACTGATTTTCCTTATATGAACTGTAACTCAGTAAAATCAAAGAAATTGTTGCATGTTGCGTTTAAATTTTCATTCAGTATATTTCAGTGGAGATTTTCCAATCCAGGACCTGGGTTAATCTGTGTCCAGGAAACTGGCCTCAGTCAGTTTGTGTAATCCCATTGATTGTTCAACCCAGCCTGGCAGCGGTAGCTCCATCCATGGTGTTATTAGACGAGGTTCGGACTGAGCTCCGTGGTCCTGTATGGATCAACGCTGACATCCTGCCAGGCCCTGGAGGCAAGGCCACACCCCTTGACCCCAAAGTCTTCCTGGAGGCAGCTGTGACCCCAGGTTCCCATGGTGATGTTCTCTCCCTGGGCTGGACAACGGGCTGGACTGCAGATACACACAACCCAGGTGAGTTACCTGAACACAGATGAGCTGGTGTTTACATCATAGCTACCGTGGCTGTACTCATTCATCATACCTGGTAAATATAGGTTGCAGGCATAATGTTTAATAACATATAAGTATGTAGGAGCCTTATGATGTCTTAATAACTTCTCTGCCCCATAGGGTACAGCTGGGAGATGGTGAGGGAGATGGAGGCAGTGTGTCGGACACTAAGACATCCGGTCACCTTCCCGGTCAGAGCAGCCCTCCTACCCCAGTCATTCTCCCAGCTACACTGGCTTCTACAGCAGTCAGACAGGTTTGATTTATTTTACATTTATTTAACCAGGACGTCACAGAAAACCTCTTTCCCAAGGGAGACCTTGCAACAGAAGTGATTTGGTGGGCCACGCTTGCATGATAAGAAACCTTGCCCAAGTGTTGAACAGCTAGGCTTTAGCTCAGCAGGCTAACCCAGTTTTGTGGAGCACAGATGTATGGTTCCCATATTCAGATGGGCAACAGGTCAGAAAGGTTAGCATTAGTCAGTTATTATGCCTCACTGTTGAATAAGAGTGGTTTGAGTAGGATATGGTACGCCTGCCTCAGTTCACTTAATACATTCTTCTGTGGCACAAAGCTCCACATTTATCCATGTTCTCTAGCCGTCCACTATGCTGCACTCTTCAGTCTATCCTCCTATGCTGCACTCTTCAGTCTATCCTCCTCTCCTCCACTCTTCTCTCTATCCTCCTCTCCTCCACTCTTCAGTCTATCCTCCTCTCCTCCACTCTTCAGTCTATCCTCCTCTCCTCCACTCTTCAGTCTATCCTCCTCTCCTCCACTCTTCAGTCTATCCTCCTCTCCTCCACTCTTCAGTCTATCCTCCTCTCCTCCACTCTTCTCTCTATCCTCCTCTCTTCCACTCTTCAGTCTATCCTCCTCTCCTCCACTCTTCTCTCTATCCTCCTCTCCTCCACTCTTCTCTCTATCCTCCTCTCTTCCACTCTTCAGTCTATCCTCCTCTCCTCCACTCTTCAGTCTATCCTCCTCTCCTCCACTCTTCAGTCTATCCTCCTCTCCTCCACTCTTCAGTCTATCCTCCTCTCCCCCACTTTCTCTCTATCCTCCTCTCCTCCACTCTTCTCTCTATCCTCCTCTCCTCCACTCTTCAGTCTATCCTCCTCTCCTCCACTCTTCAGTCTATCCTCCTCTCCTCCACTCTTCAGTCTATCCTCCTCTCCTCCACTCTTCAGTCTATCCTCCTCTCCTCCACTCTTCAGTCTATCCTCCTCTCCTCCACTCTTCAGGTCTATCCTCCTCTCCTCCACTCTTCAGTCTATCCTCCTCTCCTCCACTCTTCTCTCTATCCTCCTCTCCTCCACTCTTCTCTCTATCCTCCTCTCCTCCACTCTTCAGTCTATCCTCCTCTCCTCCACTCTTCAGTCTATCCTCCTCGCCTCACTCTTCAGTCTATCCTCCTCTCCTCATCTTCTCTTCTCTCTCTCCTCTAGCTATCCTCCTCTCCTCCTCTCAGTCTATCCTCCTCTCTCCACTCTTCAGTTATCCTCGAATTTCTCTCTATGTGTCCATCGTCCTCACTATTCTCTCTATCCTCTGTTTGTGAATGTGCAAGCCTAACGATGACTTCATTCAGATCTAATAGCATGAAGCATCTCCACCCTCTCCCAGGATTTTGTTCCAGCCCTGCTTTAAACACCTGATCTACTAATCAGCTGCTCCTCAGGACCTTTTGTAGGCAAAGCACATTTCAGTGACCAGCCGACAGACAATAAAAGATGTGTGATCTGATCCTGTGTATAATACTGTCTGTTCTGTTTCCTCTCCTAGGTACAGCCTGACAGTGTGGACTGGCCACGCTGATGTCTTAGCTGTAGAGGACCTATTGCCTTACAGGAGAGAAATCGACAAGAGCAGGATCTATTACGACCTGCTGGACTCACAGAGGGCACAGCTCAGAGGACTAAGGGGCTACTGATCTCGTGTTATTTTTTTTTCTATTTGTCTTTCTGCATTGTTGGGAAGGGTAAGCATTTCGCTGTTAGTCTACTCCTGTTGTTTTACGAAAGGATGTGAGGAATAAAATGTGATTTGAATTGATACCCCCCCCCCCGGGGGCCTTATGATCTAAAAAGGCTAAACTGATCCTGGATCAGCACTTCGGAATATTGGGCCCAGAGCTCAGAAGACTCGTAGTCTACTCGTGAAAGGACAACAGTTGTGCAGCCGAAGTGGCACCCTATTCCTTATGTAGTGCACTACTTTTGACCGGAGACATGGGGAGCAGTGCTTTTCGATCAGCGGTAGGGAATAGGGGTGACACGCCGGTGAAAGGAGTCCGATGGAAATGATTCTACGCTAAACTAGTTGAAGAGGACTTTAGCAGACTGAACTTTACTGGAGTTACATAAGACCAATGAACTATTTAATAACCGTTCAGAAGTCAAGACAATAGTTACCATTTCTGAACTGAAATCAGGGCCACATTCAGGATCACAATGTAGCAGAATGTTTTCAGTTTGAACAAAACATTTACCTTGAACATTTGGCAAATAACTATTTCTGGTATCAATGTTTTTTTTTTTCAAATAATACATTATATTAATACATTATGTGTAAGATGTCACCCTTGAGATTTCCTGTTCAGCTCATAAATACAGATTTTAATTAGCAGTAAAGGAGCACAACAGAACAAGCGAAAGGAAACACAACTACCTCGTCAAATGGTGTACAAAACAACCCCGTTGAATAAATACTATGTAAATACAATAATTGGATGCTCTGAAATTCTAATCACTTTCAAACAGAACATTGCACCTTATGATCAAGAAGCTTGATTGTCTTGTTTTAATTTTTCGGTGTTTGTTCTTCCCTTTGACGCATACATTTTCCTTAGTGAGTTTGATCTTCGACAGTCAGAGGAGTTCGCTTGAGTCCCTGATGTGTTTGTGCTGTCTTGCCAACTCCGTTGCTTTCAGTCAGAGAATGCCACGCTTCCCTTTCCCTTTGAAGATCCTGTCTTACATTGACCTTTTAGTCATTTAGCAGACGCTCTTATCCAGAGCGACTTACAAATTGGTGCATTCAACTTAGGATAGCCAGTGGGACAACCACTCCTTTTTAAATATTTTTTTGTTGTTGTAATCTTTTATTTTTTTTGTGGGGGAGGGGGGTGTAGAGGGATTACTGTTATACTATTCCAGGTATTCCTTAAAGAGGTGGGGTTTCAAGTGTCTCCGGAAGGTGGTCAGTGACTCCGCTGTCCTGGCGTCGTGGGGGAGCTTGTTCCACCATTGGGGTGCCAGAGCAGCGAATAGCTTTGACTGGGCTGAGCGGGAACTGTGCTTCCGTAGAGGTAAGGGGGCTAGCAGGCCAGAGGTGGAGGAACGCAGTGCCCTCGTTTGGGTGTAGGGTCTGATCAGAGCCTGAAGGTACGGAGGTGCCGTTCCCCTCACACCTCTTCCAGCTCCTTCTCCATCAGGTGAGACTCTGCAGTGGTTTGTGACAACGTGTCCAACAGGAGGTCAATCTTCAGCCTGAGTAGGTTGTTCTCTTCAAGCTGTAGGTTCCTCTTTTTCAGTCTCTGCACCTCCTTCCCTGTACATTCCCTTCAGACTCTGAAATCCATTGTCTGTCTTCAAATGTCAAGCTCTGGCCCCCAATGTTCATAACAGGGGCTCCATACTCGAGACCCAACTCTATTTCCCTCGTAGACCGATCCAGCGTGTGCAGATTGAAGAGAGAAACAGACTTACATTTTACATTTTAGTCATTTAGCAGACGCTGTCTTCTGTCCTTGTCAGAGAGTCTATAGGATTCAAGGCTTCCATCGAAGTTCATTCCATGTGTTAAAAGTAGGGCTGGGAATTGGCAGGGACCTCACGATACGATATTATCATGACACTTAGGTGCCGATACGATATGTATTGTGATTCTCACGATTCTATATGTATTATGATTCGATACTGCGATGTTATTGCGATTTTATGTTCCAAACACTGCTCACTATACTCTGAGTATACCAAACGTAAAGAACACCTTCCTAATATTGAGTTGCACCCCCCTTTTGCCCTCAGAACAGCCTCAATTCGTCAGGGCATGGACTCTACAAGGTGTCAAGTGTTCCACAGGGATGCTGGCCCATGTTGACTCCAATGATTCCCACAGTTGAGTCAAGTTGGCTGGATGTCCTTTGGGTGGTGGACTATTGTTGAAACACACGGGAAACTTTTGAGAGTTGCAGTTCTTAACACACTGAAACCGGTGCGCCTGGCACCTACCACCACACCCTGTTCAAAGGCACTTAAATATTTTTGTCTTTCCCATTCACCCTCTGAATGGCACACATACACAATCCGTGTCTCAATTGTTTCAAGGCGTAAAAATCCTTCTTTAAATTGTCTCATCCCCTTCATCTACACTGATTTGAAGTGGATTTAACAAGTGACATCAATAAGGGATCTTAGCCTTCACCTGGTCAGTCTATGTCATGGAAACAGCAGTTCTTAATGTTTTGTACACTCAGTGTATGTCTGCTGCAGAGGAGGCTGGTGGGAGGAGCTATAGAAGGACGGGCTCATTGTAATGAATGGGATGGAATTAATGGAACGGTATCAAAAACATCAAACATATGGAAACCACATGTTTGACTCTGTTCCATTTATTTAATTCCAGCCATTACAATGAGCCCGTCCTCCTTTAGCTCCTCCCACCAGCCTCCACTGCTCTGCTGCAGAGAGACAAGAGCATGGGAAAATTCTTTATGATCCGAAACGGAAATAAGTGCTGAAAACATGTTGGCTCACTATTTAAAAAGAAGATGGAGAACAAGCTAGGATGAAAAATACCAGGGTTTTAGTGCTGGTACAGCCCGACTAGCGCAAGCTAACGCTACCAGGCAAAGACTATCGATACAATATCGTCCAAAATAAAACATACGTGTAATTAAGCACATTGAAAAAGCTGGGATGAGCAATAATAGTCTTCTGGTAAGAAGTTCTTTTGTTAACGATGTCATGGTCACAGAGCAGCAACAATGCTTGACATAGAAAGCGATCACAGTCAGCCAATAGAAAGCGATCACAGTCAGCCAATAGAAAGCGATCACAGTCAGCCAATAGAAAGCGATCACAGTCAGCCAATAGAAAGCGATCACAGTCAGCCAATAGAAAGCGATCACAGTCAGCCAAGCACACAGTAGCCAGAGACAAAGAAAATGCAACCTTTTATCCTGGTCCCAGAACTGTTTGTGCTGTTTTGCCAAGGCGTAACAAAGACAGCACAAACAGATCTGGGACCAGTCTAGCATCTTTCGTCTTAGTGGCCGAAGAGCTCCTGGAGGTTGACCAGCTGTTTTAATCTGCTCTGTCTGCATGGAGTGTCTCCTGGAGGTTGACCAACTGTTTAATCTGCTCTGTCTGCATGGAGTGTCTCCTCAGCAGTGTCTGCTTTGACTTCAGATCTCTGGGGAAGGCAGGAGCACAGGGGACAAGAGGCTTTGATCCCGGCCCTGCAACACCCCCATTCAGATTCAGTGCCTTGGTGCTTCCACTCAGGCTGGGGCAGGTTGAGGTGGGGCTGACTCCGATGTCGGGTATGGGTGCGTGGGGGTTGAGAGGGGGCAGGTACCCCGGGCGGGTGTGGGAGATGTGATCCAAGAGCAGGGCCCCTGAGCCTCTCCTCTCCAGGTTTGCAGGGCCCCTTCTCTGGGCAGCGCTCTCCAGGGACTCCCGGGAGCCCGACAGTGTGGAGGATCTACTAGCGACCAGCTTACGCTTCTCAGTTCCCCCTACAACGCCCCTGGAGGAGTCTCCACTCTCTGGGTGGCTGCTGTGGCTGCCGAACTGGGGCAGCTGGGAGTCGGAGCTGTAGTGGTCCATGCCGATGTTGCGGCGGCAGACTACGTTCCTCAGGCTGGACACAGCCAGGTTGGGGAGGTAACAGTCTGGAGAGATTTTGTGTACAGGGAGGACAGGCTCATGGGCGCCACAGGGGCAGTTGGGGCAGCCTCCATAGCTTCCTCCATCCCCCCGGTGCAGGAGGTTTGGGTGGGAATAAGCTGCAGCGCTGTCGTAAGACATCTTCCTACTCAGGCCTCCTCTTCCTCCTCCGCCACCTCCCTCGCTCCCAGCCACCTGAAAGAGAACAAATATACAAATTAATAATTTTACATGCACATGATAAGAGTTATTAGTTTTATTATTATTATTATCATGACCTGCTCCAGCAGCCCCGTGGCATCCTTGGGTTCGATGCTCTGGGGGCGGGCGACGATCGGATGTGCCCCGGGCCCCACCCTTCCGGACCCAGAGAAGGCCAGGCCGTTGACCCTGAAGGAGAGCTCCTCCTCTGGGGTGATGTCCAGCAGCTCCTCTGTCAGGCTGGAGGAAGAAGAAGAAAACAACCCACACACATACATATTTGGTTGGAGAGGCTGGAGCAGTGGGAAGCTACTAGTGCAGTGCCCTATGAGCAGTTTAGGGGTTAAGTGCCTTGCTCAAGGGAAGGAGATAATATCTAGGACACTGATGCCACCGACCCTCCAGTTGCCGACCCACTCCGCACCAGATTTTTTTTCCCTGACAGACATAGGATTCAAACCGGTAACCTTCCAGTTGCCGGTGCACTTCTCTAACCTCTAGTCTAGGCTACCTACCTAGAGGCCTTGTTCTGCTGCAGCCAGGGCTCCGAGTGGAGCCGCTGGGGATGGAGCAGCTTCACCACCCCAACACCGGGGCCTCGAAACGGGTTAGGGTCCCTGGTCGGGGAGCCCGGCTGAGAAGAACCAGCACCTGAAGAACCAGAACCAGCAGAACCAGAGATGGTGGTTCCACCACCATGGTGGTGGTGCTCCCTGAGGCCCAGGAGGGGGCTCCCTGGCTGGGGTGAGGCAGTGGCTGAGGTGCCCTGCGGAGGGGTGCGGAGCTGGATCTCTGAGGGGGACATGCAGCAGGCAGCAGAGCCAGGGGTGCAGTGCAGGCGCTCCTCCAGGTCGGGAGGCGGGGGTACGTTCAGGTACTGCTTGGTCATCTGGCGTCCCGACGGCAGCTTGTCCGTGGTGATGATGATGACCTGTAATAAATGCCATCAGATGTTTTTATCCAAAGCGACTTCTAATAGAGGGTGCAAATGGGTGGCCCCAGCAAAGGGTTGCAAAACTCTGGTTACTTTCCCAAAATTCCCAGGTTTTCCAGAAGTCCTGGTTGGAGGATTCCAGGAATCAGAAGGGGATCGGCAGGAAACCTCAAACCAGGATTTCTGGGAAAGTTTCCAGAATTTTGCAACCCTTCCAAGCGGAATCAAACCCACATCCTTACCTCCTTGCCCTTGGCCTTGCAGGCGTCCAGTAGGACTCTCAGGGCCTCGTTCTCCCCTGCGTTGACAGCATAGACCAGCGCTGAGAAGCCCGAGTGGTCGTCCAGGCTGGGGTCAGCTCCACTCCCCAGCAGTAGAGAGAGGACCTCTGACCCCGCCTGCTCCAAACATGCATGCATCAGGGCCGTCTTACCGGTCTTGTCCTGGATATTTGGGTCAGCTCCGCTCTCCAGCAGGTACCTGTTGATGACACGTTGATCAATACCTTGTGGAAACTCCTGAAGAGGAGGTAAACTATCTTATTGGCACTACGGCAGGCCATTGGTGGCCAATATTGTTCATAAAGGGCAGTTTTCTGTGCAGGATTTTGCTCCAGCCATAGCACCTGATTCAACTAATTAACCAATCATAGTCTTCAATACAAACTGTATTAGTTAGGTGTGTAACTGTTTTGGCTGTTTAACTGTAGTAAAAGCCTGCACTGGCCGGTTGGGACACTCTGCTCTGCTGAGCGGTGTTCCCACTCCTTAACGTACCGAACCATCTTGTGTTTGGGCACGCTCTGTGCGTCCGTGTGGCGTGTCCTGCACGCCACCATCAGCGGCGTCTCGCCGCGTTCGTTGCTCTCGTTGATGTAAGCCCCTCCCTCCAGCAGCAGGCGTGTCAGGCGCAGTCGGCTCAGGAACACAGCCTTGAGCAGAGAGTTCCCATCCGTACGCACCACCGTTGCGTCTTCCATGACAGCAGGGTTAAAGGTGAAAGGTCACGCTAATGCAGGTACCTGTACTGTGTCTTATAGGGTCATCTGTAATTTATTTAGATGTAATTTCGTCAAGTCCCTGTGGGAATACAGATGGACAGGTCACTAAATAATCCAGATAACAGTATTTGAGTACAAGATAATCCATGTCTAAACCTGACGCTAAGTGCATGTTCACACAAGATAACCCAGGTCTAAACCTGACGCTCATTTGAAAGAAAGAAGGCCCCAGAGGAGCAGAGTTGCCCAACCTTAGTGTTCTTTTATCTATTGATACTGCCTTGGACCACTCATGATCTATTGATACTGCCTTGGACCACTCATGATCTATTGATACTGCCTTGGACCACTCATGATCTATTGATACTGCCTTGGACCACTCATGATCTATTGATACTGCCTTGGACCACTCATGATCTATTGATACTGCCTTGGACCACTCATGATCTATTGATACTGCCTTGGACCACTCATGATGTCCTGCTCACCTACAGTTTCTCCTCTTTATTGTCAAAGACCTCTGACTATATTAATGGCTGTGTTTCTAGAGCTAAGGAAAGCCTTTGATACTATGAACCATGAGGTTCTCATCACAAAACTGTCCAAGTTCAACATTTCCCCCTTCAGATGGATGAAATCATACCTTGAAGGCAGAACCCAGTGTGTCAGAGTGAGCAATGAGCTGTCGCTCACTCTCAGCTATGATGTGGGTGTGCCCCAAGGGTCAATACTGGGGCCCCTCCTGTTAAGCCTGTACATTTAATGATCTGCCTTCTGTCTGTACTGGGTCTGAAATACAAATGTATGAAGATGATAAGAGATTTATGTGCACGCAAAGAGCAAACGACAAGCTGCACAGGCAGTCACTATTGTAATGGTCCATGTTACAAAGTGGCTCAGTGACTCATGTTTGCGTCTCAATGTGTAAAAAACAGTCTGCACGTTATTCACAAAGAGGGCAACTGATGCTACTGAGCCAGATGTCTATGTGTGAGGGGAGAAGCTCCAGGTGGTAACTGATTTGAAGTACCTTGGCATCATACCTGATTCCAACCTCTCTTTTTTTTTAAAACGGTGAAAAAGGTAACTCAAATAACCAAATTCAACCTAGCTAATTTCCGCTTCATACAAAATTGTTTGACTACAGGGGCAGCGAAACAGTACTTGAATGCTATGATACTCCCCCACTTAACATACTGCTTGACTAGTTGGGGCCAAGCATGCTGTACAACATTAAAACCCATTCAGTCTGTCTACAAACAGGCTCTCCAAGTGCTTGATCAGTGATGGAAAAAGTACCCAATTGTCACACTTGAGTAAAAGTAAAGATACCTTAATAGAAAATGACTCAAGTAAAAGTGAAAGTCACCCAGTAAAATACTACTTGAGTAGAAGTCTAAAAATATTTGGTTTTAAATATACTTAAGTATTAAAAGTAAAAGTATAAATCTTTTAAAATTCATTATATTAAGCAAAGCGGACAGCATGATTTTCTTGTTTTTTTAATTTACAGATAGCCAGGGGCACACTCCAACACTCAGACATAATTTACAAACAAAGCATGTGTGTTTAGTGAGTCCATCAGATCAGAGGCAGTAGGGATGTTCTCTTGATAAGTGCGTGAATTAGAGGATTTTCCTGTCCTGCTAAACATTCAACATGTAACAAGTACTTTTGGGTGTCATGGAAAATGTATGGAGTAAAAAGTACATTATTTTCTTTAGGAATGTAGTGAAGTAAAAGTAAAGTACAGATACCCCAAAAAAACGACTTAAGTAGTACTTTAAAGTATTTTTACTTAAATACTTTACACCACTGGGTTTGATAGAATCGACATCATCACTGTAACATCCTCAGAAGGCATGAGTTCCTGAGTTGGGAAAATCTCGTGCAATACACCGACGTATGTCTTGTATTCAAGATCCTAATGTAAATGTCCTGGTTTTCTTGTCCTGGTACCTGGACTTCAAGAAGACACGTAACAGACAGACACAACATATTATACAACACTGCCGCCCTCCGCTCGGTGTGAAGGGCGCGTGGAGAGGGACTGGTAGGGGATGGAGAAAAGAGACGTGAGGAAATGAAATCTCTTCCTTCATCCCCGTCTTCTCCACTCCTCCCTCTCTCTCTCAAACACACACACACACACACACACACGCCTCTCTCCCCCCAGACAGTTTCATTACATACAAAGGGACGTCTCTCTCTCAAGACGTGTTCTGTAAAAGAAAAACACTTAGTCCGCTCTCACCCTATGTTCCTAGAGTGACTGTAGGACGGTATGCACCACTAAAGCTCCTAGAGTGACTGTAGGACTGTGTGCACCACTAAAGCTCCTAGAGTGACTGTAGGACTGTGTGCACCACTAAAGCTCCTAGAGTGACTGTAGGATGGTATGCACCACTAAAGCTCCTAGAGTGACTGTATGACGGTATGCACCACTAAAGCTCCTAGAGTGACTGTATGACGGTATGCACCACTAAAGCTCCTAGAGTGACTGTATGACTATGCACCACTAAAGCTCCTAGAGTGACTGTAGGACGGTATGCACCACTAAAGCTCATAGAGTGACTGTAGGACGGTGTGCACCACTAAAGCTCCTAGAGTGACTGTAGGACGGTATGCACCACTAAAGCTCCTAGAGTGACTGTAGGACGGTATGCAACACTAAAGCTCCTAGAGTGACTGTATGACGGTATGCACCACTAAAGCTCCTAGAGTGACTGTAGGACGGTGTGCACCACTAAAGCTCCTAGAGTGACTGTATGACGGTGTGCACCACTAAAGCTCCTAGAGTGACTGTAGGACGGTATGCACCACTAAAGCTCCTAGAGTGACTGTAGGACTGTGTGCACCACTAAAGCTCCTAGAGTGACTGTAGGATGGTATGCACCACTAAAGCTCCTAGAGTGACTGTATGACTGTATGCACCACTAAAGCTCCTAGAGTGACTGTAGGACGGTATGCACCACTAAAGCTCCTAGAGTGACTGTAGGACGGTGTGCACCACTAAAGCTCCTAGAGTGACTGTAGGACGGTATGCACCACTAAAGCTCCTAGAGTGACTGTAGGACGGTATGCAACACTAAAGCTCCTAGAGTGACTGTATGACGGTGTGCACCACTAAAGCTCCTAGAGTGACTGTAGGACGGTGTGCACCACTAAAGCTCCTAGAGTGACTGTATGACGGTGTGCACCATTAAAGCTCCTAGAGTGACTGTATGACTATGCACCACTAAAGCTCCTAGAGTGACTGTAGGACGGTATGCACCACTAAAGCTCATAGAGTGACTGTAGGACGGTGTGCACCACTAAAGCTCCTAGAGTGACTGTAGGACGGTATGTACCACTAAAGCTCCTAGAGTGACTGTAGGACGGTATGCAACACTAAAGCTCCTAGAGTGACTGTATGACGGTATGCACCACTAAAGCTCCTAGAGTGACTGTAGGACGGTGTGCACCACTAAAGCTCCTAGAGTGACTGTAGGACGGTGTGCACCACTAAAGCTCCTAGAGTGACTGTAGGACGGTGTGCACCACTAAAGCTCCTAGAGTGACTGTAGGACGGTGTGCACCACTAAAGCTCCTAGAGTGACTGTAGGACGGTGTGCACCACTAAAGCTCCTAGAGTGACTGTAGGACGGTATGCACCACTAAAGCTCCTAGAGTGACTGTAGGACGGTATGCACCACTAAAGCTCCTAGAGTGACTGTATGCAACACTAAAGCTCATTGTCTGCTTGGCCTTGTGTTTCTGTTGCTACCATAGCAACAGACTTTTAGAGAGAGAGAATAAGTGTGTGTGTGTTCATCATCACAGTGTGTGTTTGGTCATTTCAGCCGGTAAGATGTGTGTGGATGGATGGATAAAAGATCTGCTGCATTCAAATAACCAGAGTCTAATGCATTCAGCTGCCTTCTGTATTTAAGTGGAGGTGTTAGTGTCTGCCTACTACCGTAACAGAGTGAGGAAACAAGGGAACCAACAGGGAATGAAGTCTGTGACACGAAGCCAACATGTCAGCTCTGAGGACCAAGGATTCTATTGTTGTAAGACTAAAAGGGCTTCGGAGGACAGAAATTATTAAATATTAAAGCTTCTCACTAAAAGCTTCAGTCATACAAAAAGTTATACTTAAATCCGAACTGGTTCTCTAGCAAATTAGTAAGATTGTCTCACCCAGTGTTCAAGAATGGCCTTTTTCCCTTTATTCAGATTACAACCTCTCACTTTCAGTTATTTGAAAAGGAAATCATCTCCCAAATATCACTTTGTAAAACAAGCCATAGAAAGTTGGTTGCAATTTCAATTTAATCCTCCAGAAACGACAGAACAAATAATGCAACAAATATTGTGGTTAAACTCAAATATACTAATTGATAAGAAACCTTTTTTTTTTTTTTTTTTTTACAAAATGTTTAAAAAAAGGTATAATCTTGGTAAATTCTATCATCGGTAGGACTGGTGGAGTTATGTCGCACATGCAGCTAACAAAAACAAATGGAAATGTCTGCTCTACCCAAAATGACAACCAAATAATTGCAGCATTACCGCAAAAATGGAAGAGGAAAGTGGAAGGGGGGGAAAAGTAAGGAACTTGTCTGTCGGCCTTGCATTAAAGAACATCATTGGTTAAAGAAAATTGTGATAAATAAATAAAAAGTATACCAGTTTCATTTAAGGACCAATGGATTGACAGCCGTCCCATATAGATTGCTAAATAGTTGGGAAGAGATTTTTCACATACCGATACCATGGCATAGTGTTTATGAACTGATATGCAAAACGATGCTGGATTCAAAATTTAAATTATTATATAATTTTCAATCTGTAGAAACAATGAGAATAGAAAGGTTCAGAACTTTTGTAAAACATCACAGTACAGTTGAAAAATATATGGCAAATAGAAATCCTATATGGATGGTGTTAAGAGATAGATGGGAGGTGTTGAATGGAGCTGAAGGATG